TCCTGGAAAACCAAGCCGATGAGGAAAAAATTGACCTGGATAATTGTCCTCCATACCGAAAGGAAACAAAAGAAAAAATATAAAAACAGGAGAAAAAAAAAAAAGAAAAAAGAAAAAAAAAGAACTGAAAGCAACAAGTTTCCCCCATCTTTCTCAAGTTAATCCTGATCAAATCGATGAATGCAGAGAAGCCAAATAAGACCATCAAGCGAAAAAAAAAAAAACTTGACGTAGTTTCTTCATGCTATTCCCTATTCAATCAAATAAGACTCCTGCTTCTTCCGTCGATCAGTTGGGCTAGTCACAACGTCTATAACGAAACTGGCTCATCCAGATAGTCTACATTACTATCGCAAGGGTCAGGAATCATTTGAGAGTTAAAGTAGCTGGCACTGGCCTAATCCGCTTTGAAATTCGTAATCTGTGTCAGCAGCAGCATTTTTTCTGTTTCAGATTAGTCACACGTTTGGTCATGTCAGTTAGAACTTACAGGAGGTGAAAGCTCATTCTTGTTTTAACTAATAATTACTTGAAAGGCGCTTTTTATCGGCCAATAGGATCAACTGATGACAAAAACTCTTTAGTTATGATGTAAAACCAGTAAACTATCATTAGCGGAAGTTTGCTGGATTGCCTACTGTTTTAGGTTTAAGCTTTCATATTCCCCATTCATGTCTGTCGATTTAACCTGGCCCTCCATTGTATCTTTGTAAAGCATGAGAGATTTCAGACTAATTCTTATGGCTACCCACATAGCATCTTTTGCGACTTTTTAAGCCGTTTATCTACAGGTAGAGGGACGTTTTTAATTTCGAAGGCGAAATATATAGTTGTGGAAATCTAAAAGACCATGTGTCAAAGTGACATTGTTTAAGTAAACGTCTATTGCATATCAAATGTATACTCAAATCTTCAATGTTATGGTAAGACCTGATGACACGGGAGTCTCATTGTTGCTATGAGTTCCATGCAAGCTTTGTGGATTAACATTGGCCTAATTTGTTATCATAACAAACCCTTATCGGTTCAATTCTTGCTCTTTTTAGACCTGTCAGAGAAGAGTAAAAAAAAAAAAGAAGAAAGAAACACGGTTACATGCTTTCTCTATTTACTGTTCCCATTTTTCACTTTCCCAGCGAACACTGCAGAGTCCAAAATATGCGGCCATAAATACCACCTGAAGTTTAACCCGGTCCTGTGCTGCTTGCAGATCAGAAATTGTTGAAATTAATCAGAACATTTTAGAAAGCTTCTAAAAATTCCTGAAAATGAAAGGCCAGCAAGTTTTTAAGCCTAGACAGGTCTGAAAAAAATGTTTTCTCATGATTATTGAATTATTGTGCCGAAAATATTTCCTTTATTACGGGCCACCCATGGACTTTTCTTTTGCATTCTTCATTATTAAACATTTCCGCTCGAGACTTTGAGGTTTGGGGCCCTGTCGAGAAGTTTGTTTACAATGAAAACCTCTGATTCAAAGGGCATTCAAAAGATGTATTTTTAGTGCCTCTGGCCTCAGGCAATTTGATTGATCCTTTGTTTCCCCGATAATTGACGCATATTTGGCGCGACATCAAAACCGTACGAGTTGATACTCTGCTGTGGAGACCAAACGATAAAGAAGGATCGATAGTCACTAAAAATTGTGCATGATCAAAATGGCTCATACAGAAAATCACCACAACGACTCACCTGAAATGAACTTGAATTTCTCCTTTCTAGGCTCTATGAATTTGTATTTGGTTGTGGCGGGAGCTTTTGGCTTTCCCCTACATATTTTTCCATTTGTGGAAAATATTTCCAAAGCTTCCTACACGATGCGATCGAACGAGCAGAGGCGTTTTGTCGATGTCACTGGTTTTAGTGGACTTTTCAACCGTTCGTATACCAATGTCAATTTGCCTCTTACTGTACAACAACTGCGCTAGAACTCAGCGATCAAGCCACGTTGAAAGACTTGCAGTTTGCGAGATATTTCTCCTGATGTTTGTGCGGTTCAAGTTGGCATCACTGTTTATAATTACAACCCTCATCTTCACCCCCTACTAGGCCATGATCGCGCTAGGAATCTATCGAAATATAGCCTGCTCGAGGCGCGAGAAAAAGCACAGGGAAAATTTGCGAAACTCCTCCCTCGTTGATTGAGCTTTAAACTTATTACCTGTGGACTAAAATACTCTGTTTGATGGGAAATTATGACTTAGTTTGACAAATAATTCCGGTTCGACTTCTTGTTTACTTTGACGCACTTATATTATTATATATTTTTTTGCTCAGGCGCGGAGATTTGCTTCACAAAGTTTTGCAACCTTTATTATATTTTTAGTGCTTAATATTACTTACTTTTAAACAATTAGCCGTGAAATAGAGTTAAGTACTTTAAAAACTGCAAGGGGATTGAGGACTTCGTAGATAATATGGCGAAAGCGTCAACGCAAATTCTCGGTCTGCGCTGACAACGAGTGGGCATTCAATGATGAAAGCTCGCAAATCAGTCGGTAAATGCTTCATTCTGTTTATCCATAGCAGGGTAATGGTGTCATCATCAACGGGGATCTTTTTTTGTAAATAGTTTTCCTTGCTGAGCTGAAGGAGAGTTAATGTTCTTACTCCGTATTTGATGATGGACCTTCGTTTTTTCTTTTTTAATCCATGCCTGCTGCAATGTAGATGTAGATACAACTGTTTGCTGATAGCTTGAGCTGCTAGCCGATGTTGCGACTGTGACCTCCAGTTGAGTCATTATTGAGTCTTACTTGGCAATGCTAGGAATCGAATACGGAAATTGTGCACGTTGTTGTTATACTCATTTGTCAATAACACTCGATATCAATTGACAGAACTCACCGATTAATCTGTTAATATCGGTGTGAATTGACCAAGGACAGCTGTAATTAATACTTGTGGTCAAATTGGAAAGCAACGGATAGGAGCCAATCAGTGAATATCGATCATACTAGAAGGTATTAACAGTTTCTTTTTCACTTCTGTACATCGGTTTCTGTCAATATCAGTTGATATCAAAATTCATTGATTATCAATTTTCACGATTGGTGAGGTGGGCATGGCATATGGTAAAATATTGACTGGGCTATTGGACCATTTTTTGGACATTTTTTTTAAAAATTTTTTTGGACCAACTTTTGGACCATTTGTATCGGACCATTTTGTTGGGGGGGGCAGACCATTAGTACTGTCAGTACTCAGAAGTAGGAGGCAGACTTTTGTTACTGAGGAAGGAGTGGAGGACGAACTATTAGTATGCAGGAAGGGGTGGGAGGTGGTTGTCTTAGTAACTGCTACTGATAAATACATAGCCTGTGTGTACTCGCCTGCGTTTGATTTAGTTGTTCCCTGACTTTACATCGATGAATCATTCGTTATGCTCCAGGAACAAATTGGCAGTAGGAACGCGAAGGGATTTGCGGTAGTTTGGGAAACTAACGGATGATTCAGTGAATAAGAAACTCATTGCTGAGATGTAGAGGTGACATATCGGTTAGCAAGCAGGAGTTGCTGCGATGCTTGAACATGACCTTCCTGCAACCGGAACTAGAACACTTCCCCTTGAGCTTTTGATTCCGTCGTTCTTTGGTTCTTTTTTCTTTTTTTTATTTCATACGTAAAATTCGCTTTAAAAATAGAAGAGGTCATTTGTGATTTAAAATTACTTTAGCTAACTTTTTTTGGATTTATTATATGTTAGAGGCAATCAACGAATGGCAATAGGAATGACGTGAAGTCGTTCACGTGGAGAGGCAGCTGAGTAGAGTCCATTCGGGACAAGGCGTGGCTGAAGGGTGAGGCAAAGGGTATGGGTCCTGAACGACAAGGAAAGCCAGAGGTCTTAGACGAGCTTGGAACTAGGTAAGGAACAACATGTAACCAACGTAACTACCCCACTCGGTCTAGTTTTGTAAATCCATGGTGAGCCAACGGCATTGTCAAATGAACAAAGTAGTCAGTTTCCGATGGGGTTTCTAGCTTGTGTCACAATTTTCTCAGATGAGGAGCAAACACCAAAAGCTTGTTAAAATTTGATAGCGCTGTTGACGCACTTTATGAGCTTGAAGGCGATGGTCGACAAAGTGTTGGAATAAGGGCTGTGCTGAGGAGCGTAGCGTAATTTAGTCATTAACTCTCCTTTGAATGACTGTGTTCTTGTGGCCAAACTTCGATGCTGTACAATAGTCGAAATGTGTATTTTGTTTCCAAAAATGATGGAGAAGCTTCTCTAGGTTATACTACTCTGAATTCTTTGCGGTAAGGGTCATAGTAGGCCATAACCCTACTGGAAAATTCTCAGGTTTGACTGATAAGATATGTTCGTTTTCTGGTGTAGGCTGGCCATCCAGAAAGACGAAAACGACGCGCTGAAAGAAGCCCTCAGTTCCACTCTGAAGGCCCGAAGAAGAAGACTTGAGATTTTACTAAGAGATGATCATCAAACAAAGAGGATCCTCTTACAGGGGTTGCGGAGACAATTTAGACAGAACTTCGCCCCCAGCTAATCCATGACATTTGGAATTTGGACTTGATACTACAACCCAGATGATGTATCATTATGTACATGATCAAGCCGTCAATCGATTATGTCTGTTTTGTTACGTTCTGTTTTTTTTGGGCAAAAATAGAGGAAGGGAAATATTTGCGAGAGACACTTGAATACCTCCTAACCTTCCTTGCTTGTTCACTGTTAATTTGAATGTTTACAGTTTCGGTTCTTACCCGAGCGGCTGAAAGCGATAATCACTAAAGGTATCCTTATAAACAATCAGCAAACTGGAAGAGTTTTTAAACGATTTGCTATCACCTTTCACGTACTTTTATGCAGACAGCATCGTAAAAGGGCCAATTGAACGTCGTATGCTTCAAATTGTCTTTTTAGGACACAATATCTTTATCCAGGAATGATACATTTTTAACCACATTTTGCGAGGAAAAGGTTTTCCTGAATTGCGTGACATGACAAACTAACTTCACTTCCGGGTATCCACCATCTTGGATCGGTGATGATCACGTGAAACCAGTCAACATTTGTTAATCGAAGGAGGTCTCCATTCCACATCCAGACTAGACATTTCATAAATCGTGGGAAGTTGGTTTGGGCTACTTCATCCATTTTATACAAGGTGAGTAACGTGTGAACATGGCTAATTATCCTTAGAGGGAAAGATTTCTATACGGCGAAACCAGGTTGTTTTTCGGAATATTAGAATGTGGTGGTGAATCAGAGCGACGCCATGTCAAATCAGATCAGCATCATAAACATACCTAAATTTGAACGCAACGAAATTGATTTGGAGATTCAAATAGTTAAATCACCATTCTGTTCCGCTTGCTAATTACCTTTAGACGCCAGCATGTTTTGAAGCTAAAATGGAACGTGATGAAGACGAGTCGCTGCAAAATTAATCTTATTTGATTAGCGTTCTGTCAGAGAGGAAGCAGAAGATGAGTTAAATACTTGTTTGTAGCTTAGGTCCCTACCAAGAAGTCTGAGTTGTGCCTTCTCCCCTCTCTCGAGGAGAAGACATGACCAGAAGTTAGAGCTCATTTCCTAGAATCCTTGAATTCTTAGAAAGGGTCATGTTTATGTAAATTCCCTTCGTGAAATGCAAATGTTGATGCATTGGCCGCTATCTCACAAATGAAGAACGCTTTTGGAAGCGTTTGAAGGAAAAGCAAAGTAAGCAGGGTTTGGAACATGCTTTGCTTACGCTAAAAATTTGGGACCACCATTGCGGAATTCGAGAAGTATCTTTCAAGTTGCGAAAGGTCGGCTGTTGCCTCATAAAATAATGCAAATTTGCTGCGATCTTTCCTGTTTTTAGTGAATCATGATGTAAATTTTTGCATCAATCTACAGTTTGGAATAAATTTCTGAATGATCAGAAACCTGGTGGTTTCGGTAACCTTAAGTCAACAAGGAAGTTAAAATTCTCAGTCACGCGAAATCCCACCGCTAACTGTTGAGGTAATACTGCTCAGCAACTAATGAAAGATGCAATATCTGAGAGATGACAACTGTATCCAAATTTTCACGTGATCATCACGGTCACTTAGAAAAGTTCATCAATCATAGCCAGGTCATTTGTTGAAACCCCCTTCATGCGATCGGGTTTCGTTTCAATTCGCCGACCATCGACACCGCTCGCTAAGACAGAACACAATTTCTTGTGGCGAGTTGCAGAACGCCACCATTTCGTAACCTCTTTCCAGCGATCCTTGCGACTACAGTGATCAAAGAATAACCGCGTTCTGATGTCGAACTTTTGTGATAAAACTTATCAGTAACGAAATGCTATGACGCAACTAAATGCCATTCGACGATTTTCTCGGAATTTGGGTGACGCTTTGAGAAGATGTATCAGCTGTAATTGAACGGCTTGAAAGCTGAAACAGCAACGTTTGAAAGAGGAGAAGGTTATAATGTACCACGATAAACACACTGATGCAGTGCTTTGCATCTCCAGGTGTGATCACCTCGTTTCAGAATGGAATGATTCTGAATTTTAAATGCCCACCGCATGCAAATATGAAAGTCTCTTTAGATAACCAGGTTAATTAACGTCCATATAATCAGGGAAAGATAAAAAAACGCTCTAAATTATATGGTTCAATAAAGAAAAAAGTATGATATCAGAAATATTGCACTGGGTGTTGCTATAAAGAAAGGCAAGAATTTTTGATAATTCTTGGAAAGCCAAAAGTTATAGACTGTTTGTCTTTTATCGAAATAATGGATCGCTTACGCTTCAAAGAAATGATGATCACGAATAAAGATTCGTGACACTGTGTGGCTTGTTTTTCTTGCCTACTATGCCGCACAAGCCAATAGAGCGTGAAATCCAACTTGGCAACAAAGCAACTCTAAACCAATCAGACCTCGTTTGAATGGTCTTCATTAGTTACAACGCGTGCGAGCGCTGCTTTTGCTTTTTGAAAGCGAAACAAACTCGCCTTCCCTTCACTTTTCAACGCTATAGTTTAAAGAAGAATATGGCAACGGATCTTGATCATGAAAAATAAATATTCATGACAAAATTAGGACCAGAGAAAAAGTTCAGATAATGGAGAAATCCGGACAATCGAGGTTGAAAAGCTGGGTTGAAGGAATTTTCGTGTTATCCGAATAGATTTCAACGATTCCAAAAAAGTAATTGCATAAATAAGATTGAATGAATAGTCTTGCTTTCGTCATCGCCTCATGTTTGCCTTATGATCGAATAACTAATTATTTTGGTAGATTCCACTGCCCCTCTTTCAATAATTTACCCTTTGGAAATTGCAACTCAATCCCTGAATGCTTCAAGTTGTTGTAAATTTATTTTCTTGTTGGCTAAGTACGAAATATTTCAAAACCGAAAGATTTTTTAGATTGGTGAAAAATGTATCACAATATTGACCAAATAATTGATAAAATTCAGCATCGCAAATAACGTAGAATTCACAGAGTTTTCTTTTTAAGAGAAGCTGCATGTTTATGGTTCCTTCAGTATCCTTTTAGCCAGCAGGTTGTTATTGCTTTTCAAGGATCTTCATGAGGTAGCTATAGAATGCTATGGTGACGATCTGCTACATAGCATGTGTTAGAAATTTCTATCAACTGGTGCAAAGTTCTTTGGAAGCACGTACCGTTCGCCGAAAAAATCTGAACGTCTGCAAATAATTTGTTAAAATGACTGTCGTCAAAGCATATTGTGTGTACTTCACTTTCACTTGTGAAAATGCTCACTTGTTTATTTTACTGAGTTCTAAAGTGTTGCACAAGATATTTCAATATGAACTAATAAATTCTGAACTGAGTTGGTTTGTTTGATTGTTTCTTTTTTTCTCAAATCTTTCAAAGGTTGGATGAAGCTGTAGCAGTTTATATTATTATCGATGTTCTTTCTCTTCAGAACGATTGCAGTAAGTACTCTTAGTTTGTTATCACCTTGCCCACTCTTCAGCTACAGTAGCAATCTGCTTTAGTTATTAAAGGGGATGGCGTGAAACAGTTTTCTACATGAGGTAGATGTTTTTCGTCTTGTCACGAGCGTGGGACAAAGAAAAAGTTCTGAGTCCCTATGAGGAATCGAACCTCAGACCTTCGGATTCCGCGCTCCGATGCTCTACCACTGAGCCACAAAGACTCTACGGTGAGCGAGGTCTATTACGAGGTTCATATGACACGCGTCCTGCTAGATTACTACTGCTAGATTAGCAATTTCGATAGCATCATGTTTGTAAATAGAATAAGAACGAAAAAAAAAGTACATAGAAAAAAAAACGAAAGAAACATGGTAGAGCAGCGGAATCCGAAGGTCTGAGGTTCGATTCCTCATGGGCCCCTTAAAAAGATTTTGTTTTGTCCCACACTCGTAAAACCATCTTTCTCTATTTCTTTACCAAGCTCAAAACGTACCATCTCTCTTATTCTGTTAAAGATCAAGCTCATCAACCTGGGTTATATCTAGTACAGGTGCATTTTAAAATTGGGTTGTTCTCGGGTTTCTACCGAAGCAAACGATCAAGAACGTATTGTAGGACTTTAAAACGAAAGTACCTGCACATGATCAATTTTTGAACATTGTTTTCTAGACATACTTCTGGTACATATTTAGTTACTGTCTCTAATTTTCTCCTCAGACAGATGGACTAAAAGTGTAGGAGACTGAAGTCGCAAAGATGGGTAGGAGTATATTTATATAAAATATGAACTGAAAGAAGCTCTATGTTGAGGAAGACCTTTTGAGTTCACTTAAAGAATCCCGAAATTTAAAAACAAAAAGTTTTTAAAAAAGGCGACACCTATTTTTTAAGATTGGGACGATCAGGAGGATGAATGTGTTTCATTTTGGTATTCTCGTTGTTGGTTTCTCGGTAGATGATGACTTCAATTTGATTCAACCATCGCTGATCCAACAGTTGAGGACCATTCTAGATCAGTATCCAGATGATGGACAGATTTTGAAGGTGAAGAAAGCACACAGGCTCATAGTTATATAAATATACCTACACGTTTTCAAAAATGTTGCAATTTGAAAAAAATATATGAAATATATATATCTTCATGTTTATAATATGTAAGTAGATATATTTATTTTTCTCAGAGGACATGGTAACGAATCCTGCCATCTGATTGGTTCTTAGCGCGGTCCGTATTTTCCTATCTCTGCCCACGGGCAACGATGATTCGTTCGTAAGTCGCCGAGCACATCCCCACCTTTGTTGCCATTTTTCAGAAATATATCTCATTTTTCCGAATGGGCAGTATTTTAAAGCAAAGACGTCGGTACCTACCTCAAGCCAAGAAATAACTTATTAATCCTGTCTTTTCTCTCTTTCAAATCACTTTGGTTGACAGATAAATATTGGTTTCGAAATGAATTTGTATAAGCAAAAGTGTAATTAAATTGATCGACAAGCGGTCTAAAGAACGTCTGTAATGAATTTTAATCCTTCACGAAAAGTACCTGGAAAATTAAAATGTGGGGTATTTGGTTACAATTCAATTAATCTCAAACAATTTGTTTGTAGTACAGGGGCGAGCGAAATTTTAATTCTACTACTAGGACGCCTTCGGTGAGTCTTTCTCAATCAGTTCAATTTGGACATTTGTCCGTAAATTGCACAACAGAAACTGAAGGAATTCAATAAGAAAGGCCGCATTAAATCTCCTTGTGTCTCGTTGGAGTGTATCATTCGAATTAAGTTTTTGTGGAGGAAAGATCAGATTTACTACGCCATTGCAGCAAACAAACGAGCAAACTCTCACAACTTCAACATAAAAAATTTGAATTTACTTACAATTACTGTCCTCGCCGTTTACTTAATGAACAGAGGTAAATCTTCGTACATGAATTAATCCTCGATGAGAGTGAATAATACTTTCCGTTAGATCATTGACTGTTTTTGAAGAAAAGGTTATCGTGACAGTCCTTGCCAAACTAGTTTCGTTGTTTTTCAAAAGTGTACATATGCTTTTTAGTGTACATACGCGCTCTGTAATTGACAGGTGTCAGATTGTGACAGATAATTGTAAAAATGATGTTTCAAAGTTTGTTTGGAAGCCTTTTAAATCACCTTTATCATTACGCAAATGAAAATGTTTCGGCGAAGCATCTCTCTTTAATTTGCATCACCTCTATTTTAACCACCATTTTCTCGCTCAAAAATTGTTCAGTTTATGGAAGATCTTGCCGTATTTACAGCCCTGAATCATTCGGGTTCTTTCGGATAGAGTTTCGTTTAGTTTTTTTTTTAAAAAATAAATATGTTATTTGCTAGCTAAGGGTCGGTCCGTATGGTGAAAAACTGTGACCGAGGTCTTGGAAATGCTGCCCTAAATTTTTTTCAAGACCTACACTAAATACTGCCGTAGAGTATATATATATATTTATTTCTGACCATTTTTTGGTATACTGCCAGAAATAAAATTAATTTTGGTTTCTGTGTGGTATTAGTATGTACTTAAACAACTTTTCACCTCAGTGTCGGTGAAAGTGATGGATATTTACCCTCCGTTTCCTCTTCCATTCTTTTATTTTCTTTTTAATTTGAAAATTAAAACACTTTCTATCGGTGTTGTTCCCGCATTACACAATTTTAAATTGTTGTTTCCCCCAGGAACTCATTCAAAATGCGGAGGATGCAAATGCCAGACACGTAAAGTTTTTACATGACAAAAACAGTTATGGAACTGAACATCTATTTGATGAGAAGCTCGCACAATTTCAGGTGATGACCGACTCTTTGTAAATATGAGTTTAGAAAAGAAATCTCATTGACCTTAAAATTATTTGATGCAGATTTCATGTTTTACAACAATTGGCAAAAACTTGTTTTAGAGTTTAAAGATCAAGTAACTACTGCTTATGTCAAAGGGATCAGCCTGGATAGACGTTAACGATCTGTCTACCGGAGGAAATTATTGGAAATGAAATTTTGGTTCCTGCAGTAGCAGCTAGGAATGTTGCCTGCCCCCATTTAGATTCCGAAGTGGAGATAGTTACCGTTAAAGTGAAACGTTTTGTCATAGAAATCAACAGAAATACTCGCCCAGGTCTGGAAACCAAAACCGTTTCACCGAGAACCCTGCACGAACTAAGAAGCCCCCGCTCCTTTGTATCTACATTGCTGCCAAGTTTGAGTCCTAATCTCTCTTCACGGTTCTCGTCGCAGGGTCCAGCACTTTTCTCCTACAACGATGCAAAGTTTAGGAAAGAGGACTGGAAAGGTATACGACTTGTTAGCGCTAGTATCAAAGTGGAAGACCCCATGAAAGTTGGTCGATTCGGCTTGGGTTTTAAGTCTGTACTGCATATGACAGGTAACTGATAATGGGTCCTTATGTGCATGTATCAGAGAAAATAGTCAGGACATCTCTGCCACGGTATTTTACCTGATTCAGTTTGCTGCTAGCGTCCTTTATGCCAAATATAAAAAGATATTGTGTCTTGTAATGGCGTCTTTCCACACCATTCTGAACACTCTAATACAAAATGACCAGTCATAACTATGTTATTGGTAAGGTCGCTCACCATGGGTCTTGTATAATTCATTCTAATTTTACATTAAAAATATTATTTCATTTCCTTCAAGATCCACTTTGTAATTTTTACATCGTTGATATATTGAAATCAAATAAATAGCGATATACTCGGTAGTAAAAATTTACAGCTGATATCTAGTTTCTCTTTTCTTAAAGATTTACCAAGTGTGCTTAGCGCTGAAAAAATTGGATTTATTGACCCCCATGGAATTTACTTTTCTGATAAACGGAATAGAAGAACCGGTAGATGTTGGAGACTTGATGAAGACTGTCCGGAGATGAACAACATACCCGATCAGTTCCTTCCTTTCAAAGGAATCTTCGACTGTAAGGAAGAAGTGTTTTCCAACGGTTATTATGATGGCACCTTGTTCCGTTTTCCCCTGAGGACCACACCTTCTGATTTATCAAATACACTCTACACCGAGGAGAAAATGGATACTTTGTTTGAAAGTTTTGAGGCTGATGCTCACATGGTCCTTCTCTTTCTTCAACACTTGGAATCAATTGAACTTTATGTTCGAGAAGAGTCACAAGCCAGTCCTAGAAGATCCTTTCAGGTTAGAGTTGCTGACAATAAATTGGAATTAGTTCGCTCTAAGAGGAAAGAGTTTCTCGGAAAGATCAGGCCTGGGGAACTGATGCCCCACTCTGTTGTAGTGACGTATCCAATCACTATAGAGACAATCAAGTTCGGAACATCTCATGAAACGGACCATCTGCAGCAGTACTCCTTTCTTGTCACCAACTACTTTTGTGGAGGAGAAGTTTCATCGAAATTCAAACGGTTGATGACAGATAAAGAGCTAAACTATCTACCCATAGTGGGTGTTGCCATGCCATTACCTAATCATCCTGAAATGCAGACGCCAGATATCAAGGGCCACGTGTTTTGTTTCTTGCCATTACCAGTCCCGACGAGGAGCCTGACTGGTTTGCCAGTACACATAAATGGCTTCTTCGCTTTGAGTCAAAACAGGCGTTATATTAAGTCTCCTGATGCAGACCAAGAAGAGCGAGAAAGGAAGGGTCGGCGGAAACTGACAAACAAGTCACTGCTGTGGAATAGTTGTCTCCTGGAGGAGGCTACACCCAGGGCATATGCCACCCTGATTTTGCAAGCAATAAAATGGGAATCGTGTTTTCTACCAAGAGCATCAATTTACAAGTAAGTGGTAGCATCTTTAAAATCAGTCACCAATAAATTTTAAGTTTGATATGTTTTACCGCGGCAACCTTACTGTTTTGAAATTCAATAATGTGATCAAGACACCTTGGTTGTTGTTTTGCAGAGCGTGGCCCAACATTACTTGCATTGACCCGAAGTGGAAGAAACTCGTGAATCCGTTTTTCAGCACACTTTTACAGCACAATGCTGTTTACACCGATGCAGGTTCTGGACGCTGGATTACAGTGAGAGAAGCGGTTTTCGACCAACTCGATCAAAATGAAACCAAAGAAGTGCTTCTTCGAGTGTTGCTGGCTGCTGATGTGCCCATTGTTTCTGTACCTAAACATGTTATAGGGGCTATTACTCGCTATACCTCTGTCAAGAAAGTCAACCCTTGCCTCGTGAGATCGAGCATGAGGGAAATTCCGCCATGTTACAAGAATCTTAATAGGCATGAAAAGCTTTTGCTGCTTAATTTTTGTCTTGAGGATGGCAAATTTGACTCACTCTGTGATCTGGAGCTCTTGCCCCTCTCCGATGGGAAATTCATCAAATTCACCAGTCAATCCAAACCCGTGTATATCTGCTCAGTGGAACATCCTCGAGAACTTTTTCCTGGACTACAAGATCGTTTCTTGGATGAAACGATTGATGAGACAATCACTCAGAGGCTTCTATCTGTGGGAAAGCAAGGTGAAATTACTTTCTCATTTGATAGTTCTTGAATTAAGACTATCGATTCCCCTGGTATGGTTTTCGAGCTGAAAATTTGTAGCAGCTGCCGCTGTCAGACCAAAGTCAGCCAACAAACATGTACATGTTACGCGTCTGACGTTTAGCGAGATTTTATTCTTTTCCTTGAAATTATAATTAAGTTGCTTTTTTTTGATATTGTGTGCCCAATTCCTTTCTGGTTGGTTTTTTCACGAAGAAAGCAGTCAATTTTAAATGTTTAACTTTCTTTCAGGGTCTACACAGTTACGGATACTCCATAAATATGATGTAAAAGCTCTTCTTCCACAAGCACTGCCGTTCGAGTGGAGCAAGGGAAACACCGTCTCGTGGTATCCTGAAGATCAAAATTATAAACATCCACCCAAAGAGTGGATCGGGCGCGTGTGGAGATATCTGCAAATTAATTTTGCAAATGCAGGCGATGTTCTCAGTCTCGGGGAACTACCGCTGATTCCGCTAAGCATTTCAAAGACACCAGTCACCTTAGCGCGACTTTGTGAACCTTCCAGAGTAGTAGTCAAACAGATTTATGGTCATTACCTAGACAATGGTGTATCAGATATTCTCATCAAGCTTGGTGTGCTCATCATGATCGATTATCCCTCTTTCATTGGCAACCACCCAGCTGTCTTAGGAAGGTTTGTATATCCGCCATCCGTCGAAGGTGTTTTGAAAGCAATGGTGGTTTCCTCGACTATGATGACTAGTGGAAAACTGCCCGAAATTGTACGTACAGTACTTTCCACCAGGGAAAAACAACTCCTTAGATCATTCTTGGTCGACATCAAAGGCACGCAAGTGGGTCAAGCGGAGTATGGTGTTCTGTGCTGTCTACCAGTTTTTGAGACTTTAGCGAAGAAATTCGTGTCAGCAAAGGATGGTCTGTGTGCTGCACCCCCTGAGCCCCTTCCAATTACAATTAGAAGAGACCTCGTCGATGTTTCTCAACAAGATTCAATGGCGTTTGCACTTCTTCTAGGAATTAAGATTCTAACGCCCGTGGAACTGCTTTGTCAAGTTGTATTTCCAGATATCAAGCGGGGATGCTACTCGGAAGAACAAATTGACAAGTTGATGGAGCATGTGTTGGATCGTTATGTAAGCGCTATTCGCAAGAATGCTTATTTCAAGAGAAATTTGCAGGACTTGGCTTTCGTTTCCAGGCAAAAAGGGCGAGCAAGGCCTTGTGAGCTCTTTGACCCTAGAAACGCCATTGTTAAAACTCTGTTCGTCCATGAGGATGTTTTCCCTTCCCATACATACAGTAGCCCTTCAGTACTTGTGGTTCTTGAAGAACTGGGAATGAAAGGAGGGAATGAAATCACCGCGAATGACCTTTATCACAGTGCTCAGATGATAAGTAAACTTCCCAACATTCCATCATTAAAGGAGAAATCTAAAGGAATTTTGCAGTTTCTCAACGAGGATCCTCAAAAGATGCTGGACCTAGTCAGCGGACAACCATTGGGGATGCTATTGATAACTATTCCTTGGGTTTCAAGACAAGAACAGCGACCCTATGATTACCCTTCCAGCCTTCCATATTGGAAAAGAGAAGAAGAAGAAAACAAAAGATTTTTTAAACCCTTTGAATTAAAAAGTCACCAATTTGCAAACCTTATTGGAACTGTAATGCCTGTTGTTGACGTGGATAAATGCGAAACGATCAGTCAGTTTTTCGGCTGGCAAGATGAACCCCCTGTAAACCAAGTAGTCCAGCATTTAGAAACTGCAGTGAGGTACTACTCAGAGGAGCAGAAACCGTACTATATTGTGATGCTGACCGAAATATACAGGTATCTCGGTGAGCACCACCATGACGTGCATGAGGCATTTGATGCCACCAACGTCTTTCCTTGGGTATGGAATGGAGATGGATTCTCCTTACCAAGTCACTTACTTGCTACAAGGCCACCGATTGATCTCACACCTTACATACGTTGTCTTCCTGTGGACTTGAGGCAGCACTGTCGTCTTTTTAAGTACTTTGGTATGCAGAAGGAATGCGATCCATCTGTTCTGACACAGGTCCTAAGGATGATCAAGGTAAAACACGACAGGAGAAGTGTCATAAGCCCTTCTGAAGTGAAACACGATCTTCAGCTATCTGTCAACATCCTGAACGAATTGGCGAGTGGGGAGTTATCTGAGGCGCTTCATGGAGATATCCTGATACCAACTTATCAAGAAGAAAACTCCTATGTCAGCCTTCAGCCCGTAGACAGCTGCATGTATGGAGAACAAAATGACGACGAAGAAATCGACTACTTTTACGTACACCCAAATGTCCCAAATGTAACCGCTGAGCGTCTTGGTGTGCCAAGTATAACAAACCGACTGCTTGATGCTGATGAGCTTGCTATTGGAGAAGAGTTTGGACAAGGAGAAAAACTTACCACCCGACTCAATCGCCTACTCGAAGAGTACACGGACGGCTTTTCAGTTCTGAAAGAACTGATTCAAAACGCCGACGATGCTGGCGCCACAGAAGTCAAATTTCTGTATGACGAGAGAAAGAATGACGAAGCAATGACTTGTCTGATTGACGAGGGAATGAGGGGTTGCCAAGGCCCTGCGTTGTGGGTTTACAATGATGCAACATTTAAGGAGGAAGACTTTGAGAACATTACAAAATTGAACGAAGCAACGAAACAGCACGACACCGAAAAGATTGGCAGGTTTGGACTGGGCTTCAATGCAGTATACAATTTAACAGATGTTCCCATGTTCATAAGCAGAAACAGCTTTGTGATTTTTGATCCACATACGTCGTATCTCGGGAAAGCTCTGAAGAACAAAACGAAGCCAGGAATGAAGATCAATGTCAACAAGGAAGTGACGAGGCTTCGTAAATTTAAAAACCAGTTCAAACCATTCAATGGTATATTTGGCTGTGATTTAAATCTCCAAAAAGAGGACAACTCTTTCAATGGAACTCTGTTTCGATTTCCGTTGAGAACAAGTGAGCAGGCCTTGAAAAGTGAGATAAAGAAACTGACGTATGACGACTCAGAAATGCGAGAATTACTGCGTACGCTAATTAAAGGAGCCGAAACCTTACTTCTCTTCACACAGAACGTCCTCCGCGTGAGCATTTTTTCGTTGAACACACCCGAAGTTCAAGACGAAACAGTCAAATTGATGTTCAAGATCACCAAATCATTGTCTCAGGATGGAATAGTAAGAGCCTTGTCCGTCCCTGTTTCCCTCCCTCCCACCGCGAACATTTTGAGCTCCGATGACCAGAATTTTTTGAAGCAATGCAGTTTCCTCCAAGCGTCATCACGAGTTCTTCGAGCATTTAGAATGGGACAGGCAATTGAACTGACAAAGTCCTCTATGAAGGTTAACGTCCACTGCGTCTTCACGGAATGCGGTCTACGCTTCTTTAAACCTGATGTGGCAACCATTCATCCCGAATGTACAACCTGGCTTATAGTCTCCTCCATGGGAGACGGACGTGCACTGAAGTTTGCTGAGAATGATTTTAGCCTTCTTCCATCAGGAGGGGTGGCTGTGCAGGTGGCTGCGAACAGCGCCGACAAATTTGTGCCTGTGCCTGTTTTTAAGAATGATGATGGAATAGATGTCAATGGTACTCTTTTCTGCTACCTTCCTCTTCCTATCCATAGTGGCCTTCCAGTACATGTAAATGGGGCTTTTGCATTAGCTGCGAACAGACGCCATTTACAAGAAAAACTCGAAGGCGACAAAGATTGTTATGGGGTTGACTGGAACAAAGCGCTGATGGTAGATTCCATTTGCTCAGCTTATGTGTGCCTCTTAGAAGATCTAAAGTCAATTGCTCCAACTGACGAATCTTATAGGTTCCATTCTTTGTGGCCAAAAGCCGATGAAGTATTGCCAAACCTCCGACACCTCACGCAGTCATTTTACAGGCAGATATCTATGGGAACTCACGCTTTGTTTTCTGATGGAGAGAACTGGTTTACTGTCAATGAGGTGGTACTTCTTCATCCAGTTCTTCGAAACGATCCTTCGATTGGCGATACTTCATTCAAAGTTTTCCAGCTTTTAATGAGCAAACGCGCAGTGGTTATTGATGTCCCTTTGTCTGTCGTGAATTCTTTCCAAAGCTGTGGAAGTGGGGAAGTTATTAACTCAAAGATCTATGACAAAAATAGATTTTTTCGTCAAGTCTTTTTCCCGAATATCTCCGCAGTTCCTTCAGAGATGAGAGATAAACTTGTGTTGCATGCAATGGATAACAACTGCGATGATTTGGTCAAAACTCATTCTTGTATTCCGGCATCTCCACTTGGAAACTCTCTTAGACGTCCTTCTGAGCTCATTCACCCAGGCAAAGATGCTGCTCCCCTCTTTCTACCTGAAGATGGCAGATTTCCATGTGGAAATGCAGAAACCTTTCTGAATCCTGGACGACTTGCAAAGCTTGAGCTCTTAGGGATGGCATCGGATTATCTTCCCTGGCAGGAAATGGCGGAAAGAGCTGAAAGCATCAATAAACTAAACGCTGTAAACAGTAAAGCGGCGGAGGAGAGAGCAATGGAATTTGTAAATTCTCTGGAGAAGAAGATTAGGCGCAAAGATGAAACCTATTCAGACCTCACAAGACAACGAATACTGGAGGCTCAATTTCTTCCAGCTCTTAGTAAACCTGTTAACTTTCCTTTACCTTGGAAGACCGATGAATATGATAAAAATGAGCTCTTCGCTCCAAAAGATGTGTTTCTAGAAAGTGAAAAGTATCGCTTGTGTAGCATAAAACCGCTCATCGGGTTGTCTATCTCTCGAGATGTTAAAGAGTTTCTCGAGCTTAGCAAAAAACAAGCAAAACTAAACCATGTTATTTTGCAACTGAAAGTAGTAATGTGTTCCGAATTTGAGTCGTCAAACGCCAAGGCAGTCGAAGAAATTGACTCAGTATGTAGAGCAGTCTACTCCTACCTAGAAAAGGCCATCAGTAAGGGTGAAACCATCAAAGACTTTCCACAAAACGAGAAATTTATTTTATATGAAAGAGAGTTTCTTTACCCAAGTCAGGTGGCTTTTCATCTCAACGATGACTGCGCACCATATCTTTACCAGCTTCCAAAACGGCTGGCAGAAGATTTTCCCAAGCTACTGAGAGTCTCCGGTGTCAAAGAATGTTTTGACGAGAAAGATTTTATCTTAGCTCTAAGGCAGATCAAGGAGTTATTTCCTGAAAACGAACTGGACGAGAAAAACCTTAAAGTAGCAGCACGTCTGGCAGACCAACTTGGAGAGAGACTACAAGCAAGTAGAAGTGACCCCGCTTCATCGCGAAAAGAGCTAGGAACCATTTACCTTCCTGACTCGTCGGGAGTGATGAGGGCGATATCCGAGCTTTGCATTAAGGATTGTCCATGGATGCCTGACGAAGAAGGAGTGCATTTTGTTCATGCAAAAATTCCTTGGCCAACTTGTGAGTTTATCGGTGTAAAAACTCGAAGAGATGAAGCTCTGCGGTACCACATGGTTAGAATGTCGTTTGGACAGAAAGAGAAACTTACAAATCGCCTGAAACGCATACTTCGGTGTTACCCTTGCGAAAGAGAAATTTTGAAAGAACTTCTTCAAAATGCAGACGACGCAGAGGCAACCGAGATTTGTTTTATAAAGGACCCAAGACACCATCCAGATGAAAAGGTGTTTGCGGATTGTTGGAAACCTCTACAGGGCCCCGCTTTATGTGTGTATAACAACAAGCCTTTCACCAATTCTGATCTTCAAGGCATTCAGAATCTCGGCGAGGGTACTAAGGGTGAAGATCCAAACAAAACAGGCCAGTACGGGGTGGGCTTCAATGCTGTTTACCACCTGACTGATGTGCCGTCCTTTATGTCCCAGGGAAAGGAGATTAGCGATGTTCTGTGTGTATTTGACCCTCATTGCAAGTATGTTCCGGGCGCCACTCCTTCAGAGCCAGGGGGTATGTTCAACGATACAGCCAGCCTAAGTAAGAAGTTCCCGGATGTATTTCCTTGCTACTTGTTAGATCACTTTAAGATTGACAATGCAACCATGTTCAGATTCCCGCTAAGGACCAAAGACATGGCTCGCGAATCGGAAATTTCTTCAAACTCTGTGTCAGTTAAAAAACTTGATGTTATGATGGAAGGGCTTAAAAAAGAAATGTTTGAGATTCTGCTCTTTGTGAACAACGTCAGGAAGGTAACCATTTGTGAGGTTGATGAAGCAAGTAAAAATCTAGTGAATTCCTATACAGTTGAGGCACAGATGTCAAAAAAAGATGAGGCCAAAAGAAAAGCATTTGCTGATCACATCAAACAGATTTCAAAGTTATCCAAAGAGAGAGAGGGAATTGATCCAAGAAAGATACCGGTAAAAAAGGTGTCCTACGTCTTGGACATAAGAGACACTACTGGCAACACGGAAAAGTGGCGAATTGTGCAAAAGATCGGTTTTGAAAAAGATGTAGAAGAAAGTATCATTGATGCCTTTACGAAGCGAGAACTTGGAATGCTTCCGCGCGGTGGTATCGCCTGTCTTTTGGAGAAGAAACCTAGTTATTCTTCTCTAAGAAAAAAGAAAGCTTACTGTTTTCTACCTCTTCCACTTGAAACAAACCTCCCAGTTCACGTTAATGGCCACTTTGCGTTAGACCACGCGGCAAGAAGAGGTTTGTGGAGAGATGACGAGAACCGTGGTGGATATCGGAGTGACTGGAATTATCTTTTGTTGCAAGATGTCGTCTCGTCATGCTACATCACGATGTTGGTCGAGGTGCGGGATTTTCTCAAATTGTCCACCACCCGTGACTCGAACCCTGAAACTGAAAGTGTAATCCTGAGCAAAATAAAAGTGTACGAATCATTTTTTCCTTGTCAAATACCTTCTGATAAGTATTGGAAGACACTGGTTGATTCTGTTTATTATAAAATGAACCGGATGGAATTAAAGATTCTGCCCGTCGTTAGAAAGACATCCCTCGATTGTTCGTCAAAGATCACTGGTGAAAGCCCAGCTGCTGAGATTACTTGGCTTCCACCGACAGGTATTGGGAAGCATCAAGCATTTTTTGACGATCTTGAAGAAAAAGGGCCCTTTGCGGTATCGCCTAAGAAGCGTAAAGAGGAGAATCAAGCAAAAAAACGCAAGCTGTTGAGGGACATTTTACTCGACAGTGGTTTCAACCTGGTTTTCTTCTCGTTGGCATTGTATGATTCTTTTCAGCGAGCTGGAGTTGCGACCTGCTGCATTTCTCCTCGTAAGGTAATTGATTTCTATAAAACTTTTAATTGCGACGATCGTTTGTGCACGATTGGACCAATTCCTTGCGACGTTCAGGAAACATCACTTAACGGTGCTATTGGAGTAACCATTGTGTTGCTGTATTGCCGCTGTGATGACAGTTTCCTGAACGATTTACCAGGTCTCCCACTCCTGCTTACGCATGACCAGCGTCTCCAATTGTTTTCGAGCGAAGATCCCAAATTCCTCTCACAATACCGCGATCTTTTACCAAGGTCTCCGCAAATTTTCCTTCACGACCTTCTTTATCGTTGTGTTTTTAACGACACTGACAAAGTTAAACTAACCTCCCTCAAACATCTGGATGCCACCTCATTCGCCGCCAATCTACCTCAGACTCTACCAATAGACATATATGGAAGTAGAAGATTTATTGAGTGGTACCCAAACCAGAGAGAGATACCCAACCGAAAATGGATATTCAAGGCCTGGATATTTCTGTCCGAGCTTGTCGAGGATGTTATCACTAATGTAGAAGTGAACGAAGAGAGAAAGATCCAAGAAATCCGAAAAATGCTCGAACCTTTGTTCAACTGGTGCATTCTTCCGGTTAAAGATTTAACAGACGGAGATACACCATTGGTTTCCTTCTCTCACAAAAGGACACCTCCTCCCACCAAACATTATCTGTTGCCTCTTAGGCTAGCGGCATCTGCCTTGGATTTCGGAAGTGCAGATTCTTCAAACTCTAAACTTGTTGATATCTTGCGAAAGATTGGCTTGCCTGAACTTAACTTAGGTGTACTTTTACCCACCAGCCTAGATTTGTTTTTTTCTTCAAAATCTACTATTCTCGCTCGCATGCTGGTGTCGTCTTTGAAGTCACCTGCGTCACTTCTTACTTCACTCGATCATAAGATGGTTTCAGAGCCGCAGTCATTGGACGGAAGACTGAATACTTCGGAATGTATTACCATCCTGGAATATTTTAGCAAAAGTCTGAAATGCTTGGGAGGAAACGAGAGGGAAACCTTGAGAAGACTTTCTTTTTATCCTGCAACCCATGGTGGATTAATAAGACTCAGTGATCGGAAGATTTGTGTTCTACCAACTGAAATACCACGGGACGAAATTGATGTAATAGAGAGTGAGCTAGACATCGTTTTTCTGGAATCCCAGAAAAGTATTTCTGAGCTCTTCAAGTTTCTCGCGCTGGAATTCTTCTCTGCTGTTGACATCTATTGCATCTTTATTTTGCCAAATTTCTCCATCCTTAGCAAAGAAGGAAGAGAATCTCACCTGACATATATCCGGAAAAATATCTTAGAAAACGCAGAGGGTGAAGAGAAGCGGAAATTGTTGGAATGTTTGAGAGATAATCCTTTATTTCCCTCTGAAGATGGAAGTCTGAAGACTGCATCCTGTTTTTTTGACCATGAAAACAAAGTTTTCAGCACTATGCTTCCAAAACGTCTGTTTCCAATGGACCCTTTCGACAAACCACAATGGCTGACGTTTTTACGGCAAATAGGTCTAACTCACATCGTTTCCAAAGATTGCTTTATAACGTTTGCTACTGAAGTGGCACAGGAGGCTTCATCAGCCCCAAGTGATAATACCCGCCAGAAATCTCAAGTATTGGTCGAACATCTCATCAACCGAGACAACGTAGTGGTTGAAGGATTGTTGCAAGACATCTGCAACATCCCTTTTGTAGTGGGAGATCCAGTCAGAGAAGACCTCCAAGAAATTTGCTTACCGTTTGGGGGTTTCACTGGTCGTCAGTCTCCACATTTCGCCTTCCATGGGGCAGTTCCAGTAGATTATACTGAGACTGTTTGGACGAAAGCAAATTTACTTCCGAAATGGGCGAATCCAAGGCATCGTTTTCATGATTTTGTCCACGACTTCCCTTCGGATACTGAAATGAAGCAATACTACGATTCGTTTGTGTTCCAACTTCAGATTCAAGAAAAGCCTTCAGTGGACCTTGTGGTCGCTCACTGCGAAACGTTATGTGAAGAAGTTGAAAGAAGCAGTGAAAGAACAAACTCTTTCCATAAAAGACGATGCATGATGAAAGTAATGGCACGTATTTACTCATTCTTGAATACCAACTTTCTCAGAGGGATAGACGTAAAGAAAACACTTGCAAATACACCTTGCATTTTGGTTGATAATGGCCAAAAATTCATCTTACCTCGTCAAGCAGTCCTTGAGCTCTACGAGCACCTTGAGATTAAACCGTTCCTCTATGGAATTCCTAAGGAATTCGGTAGGTTTCATCCTTTTTTCCGGAACCTTGGCTGCTCAAAATTTGTTACTCCGGTCCACTATGCAATGGTATTGGACTTACTGCGAAAAAGGTGCCACGGTTCCAAACTGGACCCGAATGAAGTAAACTTATGTAAACGTGCAGTAAGAGGTTTCTTTGATACAGTTCAGCAAAATAATGAAGAGTTAAAAGCAATTTCTCAGCTCTACCTACCAGGATTGACTCTCACAAGCGTGGGGACGGAGGGCACTGCCAATGTAATACCTCTCTATTTGCACAAGTCTTCAGAGCTGATTTTCAATGATGTCCCGACTTCTTTCCGTGATCGATTGCACAATTTCCGAAAGAACCTCTTACTTGACCTTCGCCAAATGAAAGTGACCTGCAATACTACAAGCGTCAATTACAAAGAGCTCGTGATGAAGTTACCTGAGTCTTTGAGGCCAAAATTACTTTCCAATGTTGTCAAAGAAAAGCTCACTTCTCCAAGTGTTGAAAATCTAACGAGTACTGCGATGACCCACTTCAGACACCAGCTTTCATCTCTGCATTTTTTTTACGGTATTGCGAGACTCATTCGCGACGAGAACTGTAGACAAGAAAGAGAGGGTGATGACAACATGATGGCAAACATCAAGATAAGGCTACGCAGCCTCGAGGTTTATTCCGTCTACAGTCTCAAAACTACACTATTCTGCAATGACGAACCCATCCCAGCTAGTGAGGCAGACGTTCCCTACTTCGTGGACAAAATGATGGTTTCCGGTGAGGAAACATCAAGGGTATATATCAATGCCTTAACAGAAAGAAGTGAAGACGACTTTACTACGTTATTAGTATCTAGTGTAGTTGAGGAAATATGTGAAGGACTTCTTGGAAGAAGGGCGTTATTAATTCCTCATATGCTGAAATGTCCCCTAGGTGCCATACGGTCCCACTTAGATAACTTGAGCGTTCGACCAGACGACTCGTTTTCTGCAGAAGAGCTGGAAATTCTGCCGCCGCCTGGTAGTTTTATTCCCCAAGAAGATCACCATCGCCTAAATGATGACTTTCAAGAGTTTGAACCTGACGACTATGTTGGATATGAGCTTCATGACCCAAGTTTAGTTAGAGAGGAAGGAGATGCTACCTATATATACGCTGTAATTATCGAAGAAGTATCGAGTGAATGTAACAACCGCCTGACAAGGCGTTACAGAATCAACATTGGAAATGGCCAAGAGAAAATTGTCGATGCTACGGACCTGTACAAATTCCACCGTTTGACCGAGTCATCTTCAACTGCGATGGTCCTGTGTGATAGGATTGGGCAGCCCCCTACCCCAAGAAACAGACAGAGAGTTTTCGATGAGATTTCTGACCTTCTAGAGGAAGCGTGGACTCTTCCAGAAGACAATAGACGAAAAATAACCAAGCGGCTGTATTTGCGGTGGCACCCTGATAAAAACTTAGGCGATGAGGAATTCTGCAAAGAGGTATGTCAGCACACACAGAGCGAAGTTTCACGGTTGGATAGAGGGGAGCCACGGGGAATCCCAAGCTCAAGTTCTGGAGGGGGGTCCTACAGGAGGCTCTTTGATTTATGGGGAGGGCGTGCAATGGGACACAACACGCAGCGCCAGAGATACAGAGGAAGACCACCATGTCGTGGGAAGAATCCTCAACCAAGGGAGGCCAGACGTTGGTTCAAACAAGCAGTTGCAGATATCCAGGCAGCAAGCAACGATATAATTTATGAGAGACCTTCGTATGAGTGGGCATGCTTCAAATGTCACCAGGTAATAATAAACATCAGTTATTATAAGGTAATGTAAAATTATCGACTGAGTTGATAACTTAAATTGGCCACCGTAAAGAGTGTTAAATCTGACGTTTCGAGCGTTAGCGTTAGCACTTCGTCAGAGACGAAGGGATAACGACGAAGGGATAACGCTCGAAATGTCAACTTTGAAACTCTTTACGGTGGCCAATTTACGTTATTGACTCAGTTGATAATAATTAATTACCCTGTTATACTACCCCACCGACGCAGCATCCCAGTTCATTTAGAAACCTACCCCCTTTATTCATCACTTTAAATAGTTTTTATGTGCTGCCATCGTTATTTTAACATTGAAGTATAGAACTTGATATAATGATAGAATTCCTTTAGTTAAGTTAAGCCATTTTTATTTTTATAACTAATCGTTTTTCTTTGGCTGTCTCGTGTGACCAGATATGTTTGTCAATTGTTAGCGGAAATGGAATGTTATTAGTTGTCTTCCTAGGTTTTTTTCTGCTAACACCTAACAGTTATATTACAGACACATGAATCGTTCTCCATCTTTAGTTGAGGTGCTTCTGAAAGAAACGTTAACAGGGATTATCTTGAACATAACTCAAAAATCGACAGGGTTTCGACAGAAATTGTTGCTGGAGTTTTTTATTTGTTCTTCCTGACAGGCAGCAGAGAAGGCTTTGAAGGCGGCACAGTATACAGTAGATACTGACAGTACAAGGGTCCACGACCTTGTAGAGATTTGCTGCGATCTAAATGATCCCGAGCTACTAGATCTAGCAAGGCAATTAGAGCGTCTAGTTGGTGGTTCTACGCGCATGCGTTACCCAGACAGAATGTGTTTTCCCCAGATTCCAAACGAGGTGTACTCTGCCGAATTAGCGCAACAGGCCTTGCAGCTTGCTAAGGAAATTGTTGCATGCGTACAGAGCAGGATAAAGGTGAGAGCTTAAAAGAAATTAACAAAACTCAGTGAGAAACGTATGTTTTCTGAGTGCATCTTATTCAAGAGAACATGCAGTTCAAATTTAGGTCATTGCTGCCACCTTTGTGAGTTTTTTATTTTTATTTTATTATTATTTTTTTTTATGAAAAGAACTCTATGTTAGTGTATGGATTGGTATGGTGCTCGCACCTATCAGATCGCCGCATTAGGGTATGTGTCTCGCACCAATCATCACTCTCCATCTGCAGATTATATAAATTTCAATGGTGTGAAATGAATTTCATTTAACAGGGTCACTCTGATCAGGATTCGATGCAAGGATGGAATTCAATCATGGTTGTCTAATGTACCGCAATGTTACAACCCTCTCGTGCATCTTCTAAAACCAGAATTATTTTGATCACGACTGTACAACTTGTCTTTAATTGTAACGCCCCTGATATAAAAACCTCCCTTTCCAAAGGCAGATTTTTTAAAACTACGTATTAGACTCTATCTTGATCTGCTTTATCTGAGATTAGATCAGATCAAATCAGCTTTTTTTTCTAGAATACTAAACTGGCTGTAGATGTGTTCAGCGCTAGGTAAAAAGCCTCTAACAGGAAAAAATGTATCCCACGAATACTTAATTTTTTGTAGATAGCTAGCTTTCATTATGAGTTGGGTAGAAGGACCGAGTTTTTTTTTTAATTTCAAAATCAATATATTTCTTTTAAAAATTGTCTAGCCTCGATACTGTTAATGTGCATCTTTAGAAACGTAGGTGTCTGCATCGTTTTTATAGAATAAAATGTAGCTATAGTATGACGCAAAGTTTGTCAGAGAAACTCCAACCAATAAAGGGATCTGCCTTAAAAGGCGGTATAAATTAATTTAAAGACCAGTTCCTCGATAGATCGATACTATTACAATTTTACGTGCATTCCCTTCAAATGATTTCATAATTGCTCTATGATCGATCTCTCAACATGTTGTGATCATTTTTGTGACACACAAGGCCTTTGCACCTCCATAGCCTTTAAAAACACCTTATTATTGAATTGCAGTCAGCATATCCAGTTTTATCTTTCTGCCAATCTAAGGTTTTGATTTAGGGCCGGGTCGCATTAGAGACGATTTTGCGGATAATTATTTACTCTAAGGACTAAAATCTGTCAACACACCTCTTTTCAAATGCGACCCCTCATTTGTGATTTTTTAAAAATTTCAATATCGGGAAAAAACATCAAAGACGCCGGTGTGCTTGGGCGGGCTGGACCAATTTTTCCAAATCTCGAAAAACCAAATGAGCCCGCCGCTAAAGCTGTCAACAGTTGAAAAGAATGACTCCCAATATCGACGGCAAGGTCTTGAACGTGAAAAAGAGCGCGACATTTCATCATTTACACTGTCGTTTTCATTGCATACAGTTCGAAGCGACAGCATGTAGAGGCGAGATTTTCCCTTTGCTTACTACGGCCATCAAATGCCAAGAAGTGAGAGGTATTCCCTCCTTCAGGAACTAGGCAATACACCCCAAACTTGGCCTTTTGTGAGCGCCGAACAAAGCAAACCTGAGAGTTAATGTTACCCTGTTTGGCCGCATGGCAAGTGTCGTTACTGAACACAATTTCACCGCTCAAATTTCCCCTGTGTGATTGACGCTTGCATTTTCACTTGTTGAAATGCGACCTTTTTTTAGCTCAAGTTTATTTTCAATTCTAGTCTGATGCAATTTGATTTTCCGGCCAATTTTTTGTTTAAGCCAAAATTAAAATTGGTCCGTAATGCGATCCGGCCGTTATACATGCGCTTCAGAGCCACCGTAAGGGTTTATGTAATCAAGGTGGCTCTAAACCTTATGCCTACATCTTCTTTAACTGTGCAGGAAGAAGTGTTAATGTCTGATTTTCTAGATCAGAGAAAAATTGTTCTGTGAAAGCTCATTCTTGCTTTAACTAATAATTACTTGGAAGGCGATTTTTATCAGCCAATAAGACCCAATAGGCTCAACTGATGACAAAAACTTTTTAGTTATGATGTAAAACCAGTAAACTATCATGAGCGGAAGTTCGCTAGATCGCCTACTGTCTCAGGTTTTAGCTGTTTTTTAAGCTGGCCCTCTTTTGTATCTTTGTAAAACATAAGAGATTTCAGCCTAAATCTTATGGTTACCCACATAGAATCTTTTGCGACCTTTTAAGCTGTTTATCCACAGGTAGAGGGACGTTTTTAATTTCAAAGGCGAAATATATGGTTGTGGAAAGTTAAAAGACCATGTGTCAAAGTGACGTTGTAAAAGTAAACGTCTATTGCATTTCAAATGTATACTCAAAACTTCAATGCTATGGTAAGATATTATGACAAGGGAGTCTCCAAAGCAAAATATCATTGTTACTATGAGTTCCATGCAAGCTTTGTGGATTAACATTGACCTAATTTGTTATCATAACAAACCCTTGTTTAGCTGGTTTGTCTTTCATCGGTTCAATTCTTGCTCTTTGTAGACCTGTCAGAGAAGAGTAAAAAAATAAAAAAAAAAAAAAAAAAAAAAAAGGAACACGGTTACATGCTTTTCTCCATTTACTGTTCCTATTTTTCACTTTCCTAGCGAACACTTCAGAGTCCAAAATATGCGGCCACAAATACCATCTGAAGTTTTACCCGGTCATGTGCTGCTTGCAGATCAGAAATCGCTAATCAGAACATTTTAGAAAGCTTCTAAAAGTTCCTTAAAATGAGAGGGTAGCAAGACTATAAGGCAAGACAGGTCCGGAACAACTTTCTTTTTCATAATTATTGAATTATTGTGCGGAAAATATTTCGTTTATCCCGGGCCACCCGTGCACTTTTTTTTTTTTTGCATTCGTCATATTCATTATTTTTCCCATTCTTTCTTGAACATTTCCGCTCTAGACTTTGAGCTTTGTGAGCCTGTCGAGAAGTTTGTTTACATTGAAAACCTCTGTTCAAAAGGGTATTTGAAAGATGTATTTTTAGTGCCTCTGGCCTCAAGCAATTTAATCGATCCTTTGTTTACCCGATAAATGACATTTATCTGGCGCGACATCAAAACCGCACGAGTCGATATTCTGCTGTGGAGACCAAACGATAAAGAAGGATCGATAGCCACCAGAAATTATACGTGATCAGAATGGCTCACATAGAAAATCACCACCACGACTCACCTGAAATGAACTTAAAGTGCTCCTTTCTAAGCTCCATGAATTTGTATTTGCTATTGGTAGGAGCTTTTGGCTTTTTCCTGAATATTTTTCCATGTGTGGTGTGCTACGCGAAGCTTCGCACACGATGCGGTCGAACGAGCAGAGACGTTTTGTTGATGTCACTGATTTTAGTGGACTTTTTAACTGTTTGTATACCAGTGCCGATATACCTCTTGCTGTACAACAACTGCCCTAGAAGTCAGCGGTCAAACCACGTTGAAAGACCGGCGATTTGCGAGATATTTCACCTGATGTTTATGTGGTTCAAGTTGGCATCGCTGTTTATAATTACAACGCTCAACTACACCTCCTACTTAGCCATGACTGCGCGAGGAATCTATCGAAGTATAGGCGACAGAATCTCGTCATCTTTAGCCTGCTCGAGGCACGAGCAAAAACACAGGGAAAATTTGCGAAACTCGTCCCTCGTTATTGCTAATTTAGTTGTAGGCATAGCCATTGTGGCCTTGTTAATTGCCTCGTTGCCTTACATCGGCCTGGGTCCGGAAGGGAAAACACTGACGACGCAATTGCACAGTTCTAAAACTTTACCTAAAGAAAACTTAACGATTTTATTTTGTTCCCTAGAGCAAATAAGCTATCCAAGACAGAACTCTGATTATACGTTTTTATTCGCTCTGTTGATGAGCAGCAGTGCCTGTTTATTACTGCAGATTGTCCACAATGTTCTAGGTTGTTTTAATTGTTCGGGTTACTCTCTGGGCGGTACTTCTGCGATACGCACGTCCAAGTCTTTTGTCCTGTACAGTCGAAGACTCGGAGCCGAGAGAGACTTTGCTAAGATGATATGTGTGCTGGGTCTGACATTTCACGTGACCTGGATTCCTGTAATGGTAGGTATCATTTTGATCTAGTTTTTTAACTTAATACCTGTGGACGAAAATATTCTGGTTGATGGAAGATTATGATTTAGTTTCACAAATAATTCCGGCGCCACTTCTTGTTTACTTTGACGCACTGTTATTATCATTGTTAGTTTTTTTGCCCACGCGCGGAGATTTGCTTCACCAAGTTTCGCAATCTTTATTCATTTTTTAGTACTTTTTGTTATTTACTTTTAAACAGTTAGCCATGAAATAGATTGAAAATACTTGAGGTCTAAATTCGACTCGTGTTGGGGTCTCAGAGTTTTTTCTTTGTACCACGCTCGTGACAAGACGAACCAAAAAAAGTTTTTTTTCCGATAAGAATGGAGTTGTTTTATAACTTCATCGACATACAAGAACTTGAAAGAGAAATGGGCACTCCAAGATAGCGTTTCTCTTGCAATTTCTTTTGCGGCATGATTTGTTTTCAGGCAAGTGTAAGATGCACCAGCTTCGATGTTTTCCTCGTTGTCTGGATTCGCGTGAGAAATTTTTATAAGGAAAATTTCAGAAAGGCTTCCGAAAGACAGATAAAGGAAAATTTTGTGGAAAAGAGGCTCCAAATGTAAAATTAGTAAAATTTTGTTTAAAGACACTTTCTTTTATGACACTTCACCCTCTCAGATCTGTTCACAACTCAGGAACTTTAAGAGAAGAGATTGATTAGTTCACCACTGTTGAGTCTTACTTTGAAAAGCTGGTGGTTGTCAATCGCCAAGAATCGGTCACGGAAATCATGTAGGTTGATGTTATACTCATTAGCCAATAATACTCGATATCAATTAACTGACCCCATCGATTAATCTGTTAATATCGGCGTGAATTGACCAAGAACAGCTGTAATAAATATCAGCAATGCAAACTGGAAAACAACCGATGGAAATCAATGACACTAGAAGCCAAACAATTAATATCGATTATATTGGAGTGCAATAACTTTTCTCTTTCACCTTTGTACATTGATTTCTGATGTTAATATCGGTTGATATCAAAATTCATTGATAATCAATTTAAATGTTTGGTCAGGCCTGCATGTGTGTGATTGCCAAAAAATATGGGAAGAACCCGTTTTAGAAGCTCGGCATAACAGACGGATTTTTAAATCCTTGCATCCTAGCATCAGAATGCATATTCTCCACACTCGGTTCTCCACACATCTCCTTCGGTGCTGAAAAGGAGAATTAATGTAACAATCATGAGCTTCTCAAGTTGGTGATCATTCCATCTATTCTCATAACTTTAATGGTTGATTCAGGGATGATATTGTGAGGAGAAATTAGATACTAATCACTCTAAGAGTTAAAGGGTTAAAAGCAGTCAGAGATCATAATCTTTTGCTTAAAGCCAATGTTTAGTTGTTTTAGTAAACACTAAAACGATGGGATGTAATAGCGAGTTCAGTGCTCGCCGGTGAATAGAAACGGATATTCGAAGTTCGAGTAGCCCATAAGAGCGCCCCTTTAACGCTATCCGTTATCCGCTTAGCACAACTATGAGATATTTGGCCAGAGATCAATGAAACAAGATCAGTGCATTGAATTTATGCCAATTTAAAATCTACTTACTCGGATGTTTGCGTTGGTTTTTCATTTTTTTTTCCGGAAATTAATTTTTCCGGTCTCAAGTTAGCTCGAAGAATTAACTTCCAGCAAAATCTCAAACTTACTTTGACTATTTGCTTTTCCCAGGTTGCTGTCGGGTGCATTATGTCCGGTCATCAGATCAGCGCTGAATTTTCCCAATATGTTATAGCAGCATCGTTTTTGTCACCTAGTCTCAACCCTGTTTTCTTCGCCGTGTTTCTCCAGGAGTTTAGAGACGGTTACATGGCAGTATTCCAATTTATTCGTGATAAGATTTTCAGCCTTTGCAAAGGTGCGTAAAGTTAATGAGTCAAACGCCTTAACAACTTTCATTTATATTTATTCCTTTTCACTGCTCAAACTGACGTGTATTTAGTCACTATTTAAGTGTTTAAATGAAGATTTATTACTCTTCGTGGTAAGAGAAAGTTTCTAACTGAGAGCAAAGGCTAGCGCAAGAATAAGTTTTGATCGTCAGAGATCTTTAAAGGAAACGCTCGTTGAAAGAAAGCTTTTTTAAGTTTTAGGCTCGATTATCAACCGCTTGTTGGGAAATTATCCCGCGTTCATTTCCCTCGCAAGACGAGGAAAAACGGCGTAAATCTGAGGATTAAGCATTTCTACTACCACTAAATGAAGGACCACTCAAACAACTTTGACAATTTTCTCAAAGTCTTTGGAGTCGCGTTTAAGTAAAGAGACAATCGAAGTAAAGTTTGCGGAGTGGATTCTTTTCCGGCATGATTATTGTTGTCTTGTCTTTATTGGTTTAGTAGATTTTTGCTGCTTACAAGCTCAAGAAGGTTCATTTCTCTCTCTTTTCTCTTTTATAGACTGTCTCAAGTTACGAAGTAAGCCGACAGAGGTGATCACAACTTCAGTGACATCGTCCGGCATTTCTGCGGGAAAGGGCGAGCAGGTTTAAAGCTGTTAAATGTCCTGTCACAGTTCGACCGATGATATTGATAATAGTCCACATTTAAGAATTTTTTACAGCCTGTGTGTACTCGCCTGCGCTTGATTTAGTTGTTCCCGGACCTAACATCAAGGAATCATTCGTTTTGCTCTAGGAACAAACTAAGATGTCCGAAACAGATTGGCTGACCTCTGTATTTGTTCAATTAACATTCAAGGCATAAAACTGTAGTCAAGGAAAGTCTTGAAAAAGAACTCATGTAGTTAGTTACATTTTCAATTCTTTGATCCATCCTACATCCCATCTGAAAGAATAAAACTGATTTTCCCGGTGTTATGATAAATTTTTAGATAGATTAATTTAGTTTTGTTTGCCTGAGTTATGGCCTTCGACGCAGACTATGACTTCCCCGGCTCTTGCTACACTAATGGCAAACAAGAAAGCTCCCGGTATGCGTAGGATCTGCACAAAACGCTCAGCAACCACTGAACTACACACACAACCAGGAATTTAGAGATCTGGGGAAAAACCGAAGTGTTTGTGACCTTCCTCAATCCACTCATCCCCACCCCTCCAAAGAGTGTTTGTTTTTTTTTATTGCAATTGTGTGTGTGTTTTCCTCAAATAACGCGCCTGGCGGAAACCGGAACTCTGCCATTTTGGTTCTATGTTTTTCCTTTCCTTTCCTTCGCGCTGAAAAAAAAGGGATTTGAACTTTTCGTCCGTTTGCGTTAATCCACTTGCTGAGCAAGGTCAATATTTATTTTTACGAAGTAATCAATAGTAAAAGAAGCAGGAGTTTCCAGGAATTCCTGTGCGAGGTTAACTTTTACCAGAGAGATTTACAACTAGAAAATTGACATAATTAAAAACATAGCTTATCACAAAATAGTACAACAAGATCTAATCACCGTAGAAACGGAGCAACTGTTTCCGTACCAAATTCACAACCGCAATAAGAAAAAAAGGTGAAAGAAATTGTACTTAGATGAGACCGCTAAAAGGAATAAGAAATAATCAACCTGTCTTATTATAATTTTTGTATCGAATGGCTTAAAGTAATATAATATTTCCATTCTTTTTCCCAACACCAATATAAGGAAACCCTTACAATATTTCAGATTAAATATAGTTCCATTTTTATCGTTTAACAAAGCTTCTGAATTTATGTCTTTACTCCATCTTCATACTGCTTCTGTTCCTGAAATGCCAGAAAGAATGTGTGTTATTTGCAATACGGTAAATGACTTATACCCCATTGATACAAAAGATTTAAAATGCCTTTAAGCTGTTTCAGTTAAACCAACTTGACATTTTTTCCTTCATTGAAGTCGCTTAAACAGATTTTTATCGACGACCTCAAATTCAGTACATCGAAAGTAAAATTAAGCGACTACTTAAAACCTCTAGAAAACTTGGTTTTTTATTTCTCTTTCAGCTAATTCCGACTTAACTAAAAATGTTTTGCTGTTGTGAATGAAGTGTTAGCTTACTTTCCAACACAAGGGTGTGGTTATACTATATACTTTTCTTCCTTTACAGGGAGATATAATGCCCTTCCCTTTATATATCTATATAATAATTGTTCTAACCACGTTTTATATATTTTTTCTTGATTTGGGCGTATTTCTCTTGCCTTTCTTTTTCCCTAAAAAAAAGCAGAAATAATTTAAATTCCCATATGACAAAAAAAGATAACTGAAATTGTCATGAACTTGAAGGTTGTGTATACCTTTCCTTGTGTTTATCGGCTATATCTTTTCTCTTCCGACGAAACTTGGCCTCATCTTTGTCAGTCCTAGATAAAGAAAATCAATTTTAAGACAATTTCTCGCCCAAGTAGTTTTGATTGAACAGAGAAGGATAATGGGTGTGATCTTTACTCACAGGCTCACACAGAAAATGAAAGATACGAGTGCAGAAGTATTACATCAAAGGCGGAAGGAGGGTGAGCAGGGAAAGGCTTTCCTCAAAAACATAACAAACACGAAAATTTGAACGAGGAGCCACAGCCCTCTCCTTACGACAGTGCAAAACTTATTGCCATAAATTGTCTCTTAAAGATACAACCCAAAGTGATCCTCCCACAAATCGTTTTTCATGGCGGATCGCGCCTGGCGAAATATGTTTAAGGACTTATCGATCTACCGACACAATAGACACTGTTAGCAACGTAGAGAGGTTTGCTTGTGCCGACAAAGTACGCGAAGGGCATTTTATAAGTTTGACTGTAATTATACACTGAGTTTATTGTGCGATGAAGCCGGCTCTCTCTTCCCTCCCCTCCCACGTTTCAAAACGCTATGCCGCGGTTTCACCGTTTGCGGTAAATGAAGAGTCACGTGTTGATGGGAGTACACAGGAGAAAAAGGGAATCTCTTGCTAATGCCTCTGAATACAGCCGTTACTTTGTCTGAAGTTGTAAGTTGTATGTGGGCTAGCAATCCTTCTATGGGACAGGAAGAGCCACCTCGTGGAATGTCTACTGCTAAATCATCATCATCATCATCATTGTTATTATTATTACTATTATTATTATTATTATTTATCATTATCATTATTATTGCCCGCCACAATCTGGCCAGTTGGTGTTTTGTATTTGACATTAGCGTGGTAGAATCTTTCCCACAAATTTTTATAGTCATATAGATTACGACGTTTACAGGAGAAAGTCTCTTAGATATCCATAATCACACAATACCTACCCTTCCCTTGCTCTCGTTTTTCGACAAACGCAGCGACAAAAGCAATATGCTATTATCAAAAACACCACGGTAAGCACCACAGGCAGGGTATGGAGAATAATTTTTCTAGTGTCTAAAAGAAAAACATTTCAGTACAATGTTTAATATCCAGAAAACAATTGTTGAAAAAAAAACTTAAAATTGAAAGGGCTAAAGGGGAAGAAAAGTCTAGAAAATTTTACCTCAGGAACTAGAAAATAATTGCCGTTTTGTCCGTTTTAGCTTGAAATTGTGACGGTAGTGCTTTGAAGTTGCTCTTATTTACAACTTTCGCGACTAGAAATATGCCTTCTTGGATGTGACGTCAGCTATGACGTACAATAGTCAATCCGTGTTCAACACTTTGACCAGATTGACCACGGGTATTTCTTATGAGAGTTCAACTATGGTCAACCGTCTCGTGGTTAACTGTCATAATACAAAAGGGAAAAGAGTAAGCTTCCAAAAGCTACCCGAAAATGAAAATTTAAAGAAAATTTGGCCAGTAAAAATAAAACGCAAGGACAGTTTGCCGAAACCCGGAACTGCTACGTCTGCTCAGATCACTTTATCGAGGAAGACTTCAAGCGGAATATTCAGGTATGAAAGTTGTGCTTTTTGACCTTTGCTTCAAACTGAAAGGTACGTATACCTTTCACATTTTCAAAATGCATTTTTCTTTAATAATTTTTTTTAAGAGAACCACTGCAATGGAAGCGAAACAAATTGAAGCTTGCATTGGTGATTGACCGCGTGTGGTAAATTCAGTCAGTAAATTCAGTTCATTCAAAGGCACGTGAACTTTTGTTGATTTTAGAATCACTATAAAAAATGTCTTCTCGTCACTGTATGTAAATAAGAAGACAATGAAGAAAACCATTAGTGTGTTAAATGTTTGGTTTTTTTTTTCTTGTCAAAAGCACAGTCCCTGATCTCCGAAAAAACATCACACACACTCCACGCCCGCCTCAGGAGGACCTTCTCGCACGGCATGTATCCAGATTTGGAAAAAATTAAGCCAGTGGAGAAAATAGAAATGCAAAATTTGAAGAATCTGCCTAAAATGCCACTGGCATTTATATTATTAGTTTTATGTTTTCGGAACAGACTGTTAAAGGTATTTAATTATTGGAACTGGAGCCGATACCCTTGTAGCGCCGTAGAAAGACTGTGCACTTCCTTGAATGATTAATAAATACAAAGACAATTTTGTTGATTAAACGTGTCCATAAAGCTTGTATAATTTCCGGCTGCATCTGGGTAATTACTTCTCATTGATGCCACAACACACGAAGAAATCACGCGTCTGTTCACTTTACTATGGCTGTTATAAGTCCACCAAGTGGACTGTCTATAACTTGCCAATCGCACACTCCTAGGAAAAAAACGAAATACACTGATACATAGTCGGAACGGAACCCAAACAAATGCAGTTGAAACAAGCAAATTCTGCTTCGCCAAGCAGGCGACCATTCGAAATGAGATCGATATCCTAACTTAACACTGTTCGACAACGGGAGATTTCCTGACGCTCGTCGTATGACGTGAGGTTCTGTTTACATGTAACAAGTTTGGAAGAGTGGACCTCCTTTTGTTTACTTTCCCAGAGTAGATAATGTGATAATTATCTAAGTACTCTGTCTCTCGATTTTGTCTAGTTCACGTCCATATTTACCCATAATTTACCTCCATTGGGAAAACAAAGCATACAAATTAAAGAGGTCTATATACAATTAAAATTGCGGTGAAGTTCATCCTTAGGACTAAAGGTTACAACACCACTTGTAATGAAAGGGCTGATAACAAATTGCATTTGTTTCTTACGGTTCGTATCAGACTAACTTGCAAACAACTTAAACGTTATGTTCGCATGAATTTTGTGAAAAATGTTTCTACTGTCGGTGCTTACTCAACTGACTCAATTGACGGATAATCTTCAAGTCTCTCATTTCTCAGTCGGTGTATGCCAACAAAGACTGTTCTGATGGCATCTTTTGACAGTTGCCGCAAGAGCACCACTCGCGATTTCGAAGACGTGAGCGCCTAGATTTTTCTCCTTGTATCTCTCTCTGAATTTCTTCGTCAACAGAGGTTTCTTCTTCTCCTGAAGACGAGCTGTGCTGCGGCTCAAACATCAATGGACGAGTTTCACCTTCTGGATTTAGATCCAAGTCGAGAATTGAGTCATTCTTGCCCTTCTCGCCGCTATTTTCTTTGTTTTCATCCATCTTAGTCGAGATTACAATGCTTGACTATTGTTACGTCATAGTTACGTCATAGCTACGTAATAACAAAGATGGGGGATTTCAACTCCAGAATGTCAATTTTGAAAACGTGATTTCTGGCAACAAAAGTTTCAGCTCAAATGAAAAGCCAATTAAGACAAAGCAAGTCAGGAACTTTTGATGTAGACAGACGTTTCCTAGACCTTACTTCCCCTTTAAGTGACTATCGATTGAATATACTCGATTACAAACGAAAGCCCTTCGGTAGAGCTACAGTTATCCTTAAAGGCCCATTCCCAACCTTGATGCAATGTGCACCGCGACACAATTTCCTGTAACACGAAATTCCCAACTCACTGAAAACCTTCTAAAATCGTCTTTCTCAAGAGCTATCCTGGACATATAGTCAACTGTTTTAAGGTAAATACATTCGCCGGTCGTCATTTTACAGCTTCCTTACGAAGAAAGTGTCACGCTTGGATCTCTTCGTACTTTGTGAACAGAGTCGGCGAAAAGGACAACGTTCAAATTTTTTCACTTTCTAGAAGCGCTTGAGGATTCTAAATGAAGATAAAATATTTCCAATAGAAATTGGTATTTTTCATAGAGAAATATGAAAAAATTTCAGACTGCCGCACGTTTAGTTATTTGAAGACCGTGTCCAGTAGTGTCCGGTGAAAATTTTCTTAGTGGCAGGCTTGGATCTCTTCGCACTCTGTGTACAAGGTCAGCGAAACGGATAAAGTTGGCATTTTTTCACTTTCTAGGAGCGCTTGAGGATTGTAAATGAAGGTAGAATATTTTCCAACGAAAAATTGGTATGTTTCAAAGAGAAATATGGAGTTGTTTGAGGACCGTGTCCAACCGTGTCATTGAAAAGTTTTTAAGTGTCAGGCGCTTGGATGGCTTCGTACTCTGTATACAGGGTTAGCGAGAAACATCAAGTTCGAAATTTTAGGCTGCCTGGAAGCGCTTGAGGATTGTAAATAAAGGTAGAACATTTTCGTATATATATTTTTTGGATTTCGAAGAGAAATATGGAAAAATATCGGACTGCCGGACGTTTAATTATTTTAAGTTTAGTCACTTCATTGCAGGAACGTCAGCGACACTGACAGTTTGCTGCTTTGCATGGACAACAACCTCGACCACTCTTTCAAGCGCAAGTTCTTCTCCACGGGCAGGAAACTTAAACTGACCCTTGGTCCTATTTAACAAGGATGGCAAACTTCAATTAAAAAAAAATTTATGAATGCAAGAAAACGCGGTGGATCAACATTTTCACCTTCTTCGAAATGCTTGCAAGGATTTTCGCGTTCCTCTTTAGCAACAACCGATTCATAAGCGTTTACTGCCTCAGAATCTACTAAATCAGTGGATTCATCCGATTCCATACCGGATTAAACGAATAGAACTGTTTTAAACAGAATTATTTTGATAAGCTCTTCAAATTCATCGGAGAAAACACAGAAGGTATTTTGAGACGTGACAAGGTAAAAATAACTGACCAATCAGAGGCGCTATTTAAACAAAAGCGATGGTTCAAAACAAAAACAAACGACTGCGTTGCATCAAGGTTGGAAATGGGTCTTTAATGTCGTGCATGAAAGGTTGCTTTCGCTTTAGGGAGCCTCGCCGCTGTCGTATTTTTGACCGACTGACTTTAGGCAATATTTTAACGCTGATGCCATTTACGAAACATATAGATAAAGGATATTAAAAGGTCGGCTTGTGCACAATGTAAAACGCTGAACGGCGAAGATAGCTTGAATATGAGAACAGAACTATGAGTACATGCAAATTCTCATCTAACATCCAGGAGCAAGAAATGTATCTGTAAACCAGCCTGCAAAATTTTAAGTTAGCCTCCGAGTGCATGCCTCTATTCGTAACATATAAGTGCATTGTTACTTGAAATATAAGAAAGTTTCTTATCCCCGCAAAATTCGTCAACATTTAAAGTTGCGTGACTGAAAAACTAGCGTCTATTCTTGAAAGGATTAACGCTTCCTGTCTTTCACTTTCTGGGAAATTTACGTCAGACTGGTTTATATTTTGCCATAAGTCTCGCTAGTCCAATTAGAAGCATACTTACTTTACGCTGTTTTGGTTCAAAACGATACTTTTGTGATCTCCGCTGAGAATATCAGAATGTGATCGTGATAACACGAAATAGGAAATACGAAGGTGGAATGAAACACTTCTTGAAACACTTCACTTCTTGAAACACTTCACTTCTTGAAACACTTCACTTCTTTCGTAATTACCCGAGCAACACAATGTAACTTACCAGCTGCCGCTGTGCAAGGCCACAAATGGATGAAACCTAGAAAAAACGCAAGGACCAAAGGCGAGGAAAGGCTCCAATAAAACGCCATAGCGTCTTGACGTCGTTGGTGACCAAAATGGCTACCGTATGAGTAAGGATCTCAACCTTTGATGTCACTACGACATCAAATGCATTCAAATGGATCGAAATTTGCCATTAACTTTCGACTGTCAGACGAGTCAGTGACAAGGGAGTGCAGGTATCGCTAAAAAATCAAAGGAAGAAGAGGAAATATGTATGTCCCAAATCCTGAGTATTTATAGCTTAAAACATTAAGGGGAAAATTGTTCAAGATCAGTGTCACAATTGTTGCGTGACATATTAGTAAAGATTTTAAACGCGTCACGAAATCATCGCGAAACTATCCTGTTAATTTATTTCGGGTGAGTTTGTGTCAGTACAATCGTTGTATATTTCCATAGTATCATGGGAACTGAAAAAATTGTTGGGGGGGGGGGTTGGCTCTTACCCTTATATTCTCTTAATTGAATAAAAATCAAAAGATGTTATCACAACTTGCAAAGCATTCTTCAGTAAACTAGACCCTGTGAGCAGGGTAACTGGGATACCTGGATGGTACTGAATCCTTGGAATCAAGTGTAGTGATACTACTGGTGTCGGACTAGTATACTGAAATAGTGCGCTCAAGTCTGGCCAAGGGCATACACCTATTTCAAAACATAGGCATGCTATGCGTGCAAGAGTTCCTTTTTGTAGGGTGGGTGGATTACTTGAAACATTGTGAATGATGTCTACATTCTTACAAAAGGAGAGAAGAATATTAATGTGGGAAAGAACGAAAATGTCGAATTACCTCACTCACAGGTATTTTGTGGGAGATTATGTGTATTTTGCGAATAAATGTAACCAAAAATAAACTGTATTGGTGCCACGGATACCTGTTAGTACAAAATGCAGACAGCATACTGCAGACCGGATACAAAATATAGACTGCAGACTGCAGAGTGGGTACAAAATGCAGACTAAGAATCTGAAGAGTTTTTACGTCTGGTATATAATAACATGTCATCTTACAGCTTACCGAGCGTCACGCAATCGCTTTTCTGCAATCCGCCTTCACGATTATTTGCACTATTGTGGAATATTCCTGGCCCATTTCTTGATGAAAATCGATCGCAATATTATTTCAAGCCTTCAACATAGTCTTCTTACTTTGCGCGCGAGTTGGTTGGTGTGATGTCTGCACAGATTTTATCAACGTAATAAAAGTAGATGATGTGAACTACAGTGATGGTAAAGCAAGCTTAAAACGGCAGAAATCGCCAGAAAATACAACGGATACACAGGGTATGAGTAAGTTTTATTGATTTTACAAGAAAAATGTTCATATTTCGAAATATGTATCGTTGTAAATCGACCATACTTCGTTCCCTGTACTATTCCTTATAACGTGCAGTTCCTCTCGTAACTTAACACCGAGTCACACAACGCGTGACGCGTTCATGAATTAATCGTTGGCTTTTTCTCGAGACGTGAGCTTGGGCCGCTTGTGACAAGACAATTGCGTAAACAATATTTAACATAATAACATTATACACAAAAAAACACAGGGTTTTGGATCACGTATTTATTAAAAAAGAATATCCATACAACTACAATGAAAACAAACATAAGATTCACCTTTTTGATCGTGAAGTTAATACCATTCGTACTGTTATCGTAGCTACGTTCCTTGCCATCAAGTGAATCCAACATGTCGTCTTTCTTCACAAGCAGTTTGCATCCCATATAGTTATGTTCTTCTGTCTCACGGTAGTAGCGTTGTTCAATAGATTGCATAGAGTATATGCAGTTTGGTTTCAGATTTCAGATTTTGCTTTTTACAACAAGTGAACGTTTTTCAACTAAGACATTGGCATACTTAGCATACAAGGCATTCAAGGCTTTCATGGCTTTCAAGCGTTCGCGACTCAATCCGTTCCAAAATTACCGCTCAATAACATCTTTCAGTGTGGATTAGCCGCGATTAATACGACTTGTATATGCGTCTGTAAGTATTTTGCGCGTTTGCGCTATAATGCTCCAGGAGATCGCAATCCAAATACGTTGAAATGCAAAACAACTGACCAAAGAGTTGCATGAGCAAAATCTCGTGTTCGTCATGTGACCCGGCCCTGTCTGTGTATGACAACGTCAATCATCATCAAGATAACACGCGTGATCAGCATGTGAACACCTCATTGGATCACAGTTAGTTGTCATGGTGTTGGGGGCCCAATGATCTCTGGGTACTATTGCGCAATTTTTCCATTTTGTGGCGGAGGAAAAAAACAAAAAAACAAAAAACAAAAAAAAAGAAAGACGACAAAAAAAACAAAGGCATTTTATGACTGGGCTACCACAGGTATCCCAGTAATGACAGCGGGCTGTATTGAAGAAGGAGATTGTGACACCCTAACCGGTTCATTTTGATTCTTTCGCTTACAGTTTTGATGCACAATTTACAATACTTTTGAAATCCCCACCTTGAGGGAAAACAGAACAGCTTTTCGGAACCGTTAAGTTACAGGAACCTTCGAGAAACGAGCTCGAATAGAAATAGAATAGATTCCGGTAATTCTGATGGATTCTGATGCACTTCATTTGATTGCAATCGATGTACAAATCATGGAATTCCAAATCATGGATTTTGTCGGACTAAATGTTCATACTAGGTTGAGTATATAGGTGCGTGTGATCAACACGCTTCCCATTTGCTTTTACCCTTATATTTAGAGCAATACATCGTTCTGAAAGCAAGTCTTTCCTTTTTCATTCTGTTTCGTTCGCTTATTAAAGTTTTGGTCGAAGAAATAAAAGCTCCTCGCTCTAAACTCAGGAAAATTGTGATTAATAACGAGTGCAGTCGAACCTGTATTAAGCGGCACTTAATTAATCGTTCATGCTCTATTAAGCGGTGAGTTGTCAAAGTCCCGAAATTCTTTCCCCTTGAAGAACGTAGTTAATAGTATTAGTCACAGACTAGAAAATAAACCGAGTTAAAAAAATTAGCGTGCGGCCACAGTGTATTTGACGATGGACGCCTTATTTTGAAAACAACCCAGTATCCTTACTTCACACTTAAAACTGTAAGACTTAGTTCACAAATAGACGCCTGCGCGTAACAACAGTGATAAATGTGTTACATGAACAATTTACGTTTCTACATCGTTGATTGTCTGTAGTGGAACCGGCTAGGAAACGGCCCTAGTTCGCAAGTTTTCATCAATTTAGATCAGTTATGTCTGATTTCGATAGGAATGTTTTGTCTAATTTAACGAAAAATCCGATGTGCGCGTTTTAAACCCCCATAGACAGACACTTCCCTCTGTTTTCCCAAGATCCCTTCGATTTCGAATGATCACGCCGAGCATAGTTATGTTCCTCCTGTTTTCGGACAGTTTTACCCGATGTACAGTGGAAAGATTTCTCTGGTTTTGGACTTTACGACTTTGTTAAACTACATTTTGGACAAGTTTGTCTAAGTTTTGAAATGTTTCCAACCTAAGTACTCAGTATCTTTCAGCATAGGGATATAAAGATGCTTGAAAGTTTAATTAATTCTGAACTTGAGAAAGTTCTTACTTGGCTATGTGCAAATAAGCTTTCATTAAATATTGATAAGTCAAACTTTGTTATTTTCCATCCAATTCAAAGAAAATTGCCCAAACAGGTCATGTTATCTATAAACAATCAGATGTTGACCCAGGAAACTTCCATTAGATACGTTGGAGTTTACATTGATTACAATATTAGTTGGAAGATGCACATTACTAATATTTCTAAAAAAATCAAGAGAAGTATAGGCATTCTTTCTAAACTAAGTTATTTCTTAAGTACTAAAACACTACTTAGCCTGTACTATGCTCTGGTTGAGCCTTTTCTCAACTACTGCATAATTGCTTGGGGTAATACCTGATTAAAAGTACACTTGTATCATTTGACACAAAAACCCTATATGTTGTCTCGCGGCACCTGGGTTTCGTTGGGGTTTATTATATAAGCTAACAACAAAACCTAAGTCAGCTGATAGGTTTAACTTCAAGATTACTCTCTCCACACAACATCATTGTTAATAAAGCATAGAAAACTACATAAGCTCAGACTCTTTACTCAAAGATGCAGCCTGAGCAAAGCCATTTTAATGGCATTTTAATGACATCTTAAAATATGTCGTCATTGCGAAGCCTTGATTAACAGATACAATGGTAAGAGAAGCTTCTGAATTTGTGTCTTTATTCCATCTTCATACAGATTCTATACCTGAAAATTAAGAAAGAAATTTTATTATATGCGATACAATAAATGACTTAAACCCCATTCATACCAAAGCTTTAAAATGTTTTTAAGTTGTTTCGGTTAGACCCGTTTGACATTTTTTTTTCATTGAAGCCGCTTAAACAGGTGGTTATCGACCTCAAATTTAATATATTGAAAATAAAGTTAAGCGACTACTTAAAACCTATACAAGACTCAGTTTTTTTTTTCATTTCTCTTTTCTTAATTTCCATTCAGTTAAACCCGACTTAACAAAAAATGTTTTACTGATGTGCATGAGGTGTTAGTTTACTTTCCAACACAGGGGTGGGATTATACTTCATACTTTGCATACTTTACAGGGAGAAATAATGCCTTTCTCTTTATTTATATAATAATCGTCCTAACCAGAATTTATTTTTTTGATTGAATTTAAAACGACCTATTCACTTACCATATTTTTTCCTGATTTCGTCACGTTTCTCTTGCCTTTCTTTTTCCCTAAAAGAAGGCAGAAAGAATTTAAATTATCTTATGACAAAAAAGATAACTGAAATCGTCATCAACTTGAAGGTTGTGTATACCTTTCCTTGTGTTTATCAGCTATTTTTTTTCTCTTCCGATGAGACTTGACCTCATCTTTGTCAGTCCTAGATAAAGAAAATCAATCTTAAGACAACTTCTCACCTGAGGAGTTTTGATTGAACAATGAAGGATACCGGTAATAGGTGTGATCTTTACTCGCACGCTCACACAGAAAACGAAAGATACGAGTGCAGAAACATTATTAGCAGAGAGGGTGAGCAGGGAAAGGCTTTCCTCGAAAACATAAAAACACGAACATTTTGACAAGGAACCACAGTCCTCCCTTCACGACAATGCAGAGCTTATTGCCATAAAATTGTCTCGGAAAGATACAACCCAAAGTGATCCTCTCATAAATCGTTTTACATGGCGGATCGCGCCTGGCGAAACATGTTCAAGGACTTATCGATCTACCGGCGCAATGGACTGTTAGCAAAGTGAAGAGGTTTGCTTGTGCCGACAAACTACGCCAAGGGCATTTCCTAAGTTTGACTGTGATTATACACTAAGTTCATTGTGCGATGAACCCCCTCTCCTCCCTCCCCTTCCACGTTTCAAAACGCTTTGCCGCCCCTGGATCATATAAAAATTCAGTTACGCCGTTTACAGTAATGAAAGAGTCTAGTGTGGATGGGGGTACACGGGAGAAAGAGGGAATCTCTTACTGATGCCTCTGAATACTTTGTTAAGAGCCACCTCGTGAAATGTCTACTGCTAAATTATAATTATCGTCGATATTATTGTTTTATCATTATCATTACTACTGCTCACCACAATTTGGCCATTGCAGTTAAGTATTTATATTTTACAAGGTACTTGTAGACGCTAGCATATAGATTACGACGTTTACAGGAGAGTCTCTTAGATATCGGTAATCACACAATACCTACCCTCCCCTTGCTCTCGTTTTTCGACAACAGCAGCAGTAGATGCAACATCCTATTGTCACAAGCAACACGAAACCCGCCACAGGCAGGGCAATGAGAAGAATTTTTCCAGTGACTAAAGGAAAAACATTTCAATACAATCTTTAATATCCAGAAAACAATTGTTAAAAAAAAAACTTAAAATCGTTCCTTTTGAAGCTTTGGTTGGGGCAACTAATCGAATGAGAATATTTCTCATGTTTTTTTTTTTACATCAGATTGTCTGGATTACCGAAGAGTTTTCTGGGAAAACGCAATAATGTCTTAACAAATAAAGTGAGGATGTCATCATTGGAAGGTCTCCTCTTACGATAACTGAGCGAAACTAAAGGTGACTATGCCGTCACCGGTAATGATAATGATTGAAATCCCCCTTGATAAGCCTGAGTGCTTGGGGGGAAAACAAGAAAAGACATGTGCAAAGATATAAAAGAAACCTATTGCTTTAAATTGAGCAACAGTTCCTACCCAGACACTGTTCTGTCATCCATTCCTGACCCTCGCAAGACTTTTGGAGAGTGCTCTTCACCAAATCACCAGCCTCGCATAATTTGGTTGGCTTGCAGTAAAAGCACTAAAAAACAATGAATAGATAACTGAATAAGTTATAAGTAAATAATTGAATATACGAAAAGACTAAGAGTAGAACTGTAAATAAATGTGATAACTTATCACCATAAATTTATTAAATTCTAGACAATATTTTGTAAGACAAATTCACCATTCAAACAGTCAACCGAACGAAAGGATGCTCTCCCATTTGAGTTACAGAGGACCTTTGAGATCTGGCTGCTGAGTTTACTGTAATTAGCGAAACGAGACTTTCAAGGTAATTAAAAAGATAAAATTTCAAGATTTCTGTTTATTATGTTGAGTGAAGGGCTATAAACCACCAATCAAGGGGAGGCTGTGCAGAAGTATCATAGGGTCTCTGGAAAGTATATAGAAATCTCAAATTTCATAACTCTCATGTACTGTGTAATGCAAGTAGTTTCAGATTTTTACTTCCTTACCAATGCTAGAATTTAGTCATTATAATTTATAATTTACAAATGGCTTGATGTTGAAAAACAAAAGATGATGAGAATACAAATAATCGTTTAATATGTTAGATTTATTATTTTCCTGAGCCAATTTATTGTTTGACCATGCCTCTGTTTCTCGGAGGTTTCAGATTCCGGCTGAATTTTTATGATGCCTCTTATTACATTCAAGCACATAAATATTTTCATTACATGGTGAGCTTACCCCAGATTGTTCGACGCATTCTTTACACGACATGCCGCTGTATTTACTGCAGTTTGCTAGCGATTAAATGAATAAAATTAAACAGGGTTAAGTGACTGTCGATTGAATATACTCGATGACAAACGAAACCCCTTCGGGAGAGCTTCGGTTATCATGAATGTCGTGCGTGAAAGGTTTCTTCCGCTTTCGGGAACCTCGCCGCTGTTGTACATAGCGTATTTTTAACAGACTGACCTTCTCACCTGAAGCAATATTTTAGCGCTGATGTCATTTACGAAACATAGAGATAAAAGATATTAAAAGGTCGGCTTGTACTGAACGGCGTAGTTAGCTAGAATATGTCTACAGAACTATATACACATGCAAATTCTCATCTAACATCCGGGAGCAAGAATTGTATCTGCAAACCAGCTTGCAAAATTTTAAGTTAGCTTCCGAGTGCATGCCTCAATTCGTAACGTGTAAGTGCATTGTTACTTGAAATATAAGGAAGTTTCAAATCCCCGCAAAATTCGTCAACAGTTAAAGTTGCGTGTCTGTTCTTGAAAGGATTAACGCTTCCTGTCTTTCACAAGGGAAATTTACATCAGAGTGGTTTATATTTTACCACAAGTCTCGTTAGTCCAATCGGAAGCATATTTACTTTATGCTGTTTTGGTTCAAAACGATACTTTTGTGATCTCTGCTGAGAATATCAGAATGTGATCGTGATAACACGAAATAGGAAATACGAAGGTGAAATGAGACACTTCTTGAGACACTTCACTGCTTTCGTAAAATTAGCCGAGCAACACAATGTAACTTACCAGCTGCCGCTGTGCAAGGCCACAAATGGATGAAACCTAGAAAAAACGCAAGGACCAATGGCGAGGAAAGGCTCCAATAAAAAGCCATTGCGTCTTGACGTCGCTGGTGACCAAAATGGCTACCGAATGAGTAGGGATCTCAACCTTTGATATCACTACGACATCAAGTGGATCGAAATTAAAGATTGACTTTCGACTGCCAGACGAGTCAGTGATAAGGGAGTGTGGGTACCGCCAAAAAATGAAAGAAAGAAGAAATGTGTATGTCACAAATCCTGAGTATTTAGAGCTTCAAACACCAAGGGGAAGACTGTTGAGGATATTATTTCCTTGATAAACGTCACAACTGTCGCGTGACATATCAGTAAGGATTTTAAACGTGTCACGAAATCATCGCGAATTTGAAAACATCTTGTTAATTTATTTCGTGTGGGTTTGTGTGGATACAATCGTTGAATATTTCAATAGTACGGAACTGAACTGAAAAAATTGTGTGTGTGTGTGTGTGTGTGTGTGTGGGGGGGGGGGGGAGGGTGGGGGGTGGGTAGGCTCCTACCCAGATATTCTCTTAATTGAATAAAAACCAAAAGATGTTATCACAACTTGCAAAGCATTCTTCCGTAAATGACAGCGGGCTGTATTGAAGAAGGAGATTGTGACACCCTAACCTGTCCATTTTTCTTTCGCTTGCAATTTTAATGTACAATTTACAATACTTTTGAAATCCCCGATGGATTCTATAGGACTAAATATTCATATTGGCTGTATAGGTGTGTGTAATACAACACGCGTCCCATTTGCTTTTACCGCTATAATTAGAATAATACATTACTCTGAAAGCAAGTCTTTCTTTTTTCATTCTGTATTGTTTGTTTATTACAGTTTTGGTTAAAGAAATAAAAGCTCCTTGCTCTAAACTCAGAAAAAACGTGATTAATACCGAGTGCAGTCGAACCTGTATTAAGCGGCACTTAATTAATCGTTTATGCTCTATTAAGCGGTGGGTTGTCAAAGTCCCGAAATTCTTTCCCCTTAAAGAATGTAGTTAATAGTATTAGTCACAGACTACAACATAAACCCAGTAAAAAAGGCCACAGTATATTTGATGATGGACGCCTTATCTTGAAAACAACCCAGTATCATTGCTTCATATTTAAAACTGTAAGGCTTAGTTCACAAATAGACGCCATGCGCGTAACAGCAGCGATAAATGTGTTACATGAACAATTTACGTTTCCGTATTTTTGATTATCTCTAGTGGAACAGGTTAGGAAACGGCCCCAGTTCGCAAGTTTTCATCCCATTTAGATCGGTTATGTCTGATTTCGATAGGAATGTTCTGTCTAATTTAAGGAAAATCCAATGTGCACGTTTTAAACCTCCATAGACAGACATCGATATCTCCCTCTGTTTTCGCAAGATCCCTCCGATTTCAAATGATCACGCCGAGCATAGTTATGTTCCTTCTGTTTGCGGACAGTTTTACCCGATGTACAGTAGAAAGATTTTTCTGCTCTTGGACTTTACGACTTTGTCAAACTACAATTTGGAAAACTTTGTCTAAGTATTAAAATGTTTAGCACCTAAGTACTCATTACCTAAGTATTGACCCTCCCCCAGAGAAAGTAATTTTAAGACATATTTGGCTCCCAGCATTCCATGCACACATTACTGATATGAAAAATGGCGGAGCTGTCGCCAGAGCAACATTTAATTGATTTTCTTCCTTCTTTTATAGTTGGTAGGAATTTTTCCCTCTATTTTCCCCAGGAATTAGAAATTCGCAACTTCGTTATACCCCCATGGTAGCTGGTAGAGTTTCCCTCAACGTGGAGAAGGACTGAAGCCTACCGTTTGTCATGGAGTCATCGTGGAACTCGTTGAATCTTGAATTTTGTATGGAATATTTTATATTCATTTTAAAGCATACCTATAGCCTCTGAGTTCTTAATTTCATTTTATTTCAAAAGATTTAATTTCAGGCCGCCTGAAAAGCAAAACTTTCTATGAACTGAAATCGATAGCATTGATGTTAGTTTATTGGCCCTAATTCCTGGGTTATTTTTTTATCCTTGGTAATGATTACTCTTGATAGATCTTAGTAATTACTGTTTGATTAACTTTCAACTTCTCCTCACAATAACTACAGTTTGTTTCACAAAAAGGGTCGAGGATGTTATCTTGATATCGCAAATTAGATCAAAGGGGGACCACCTGCTCAGAAGCATCCAATCACCCCAGACATTCTTTGTTGTATCTTGAAGCTTAACCTGCAGTCTAGTTTTGATGCTTCTTTCTGGGCAATCTGTTTGGTCTCCTTTTTTGGGATGCTCTAGAAAAGCCATCTGTAAGCTTGTTCTGCACACTCCTTCGACTACTTCCAGCAATTCATTTGCTCAGATATTCAAGTTTTTCATCAGGGGGTTCATGTGACTATCCCTTGAAGCAAAATCATTCTATTTTGAGAACAGATTGTACAAATCCCCTAAATGGGCCTTATACCAGGTTTCCCTCTTTTTCCAGTCACAGCTACCCATTGAGTCTGATCTTTCATCACTCTCCTATCATTACCTTCCCTTCCCAGGCTCTCAAATGGCAAGACCCTATTTCCCTTGGCTATATGGTCTTCACTTATTCCAAATTTATGCAACTCCTTGAGGACATCCTCACTTCTCTTGCTTTGCCAACCAAGGACTTTGCCAGTCACTCCTTTAGGTGCAGGAGGTGTGTGTTTGGGGGGGGGTGGCTCTTTTGCCTTTCATTCTGGGGTGCATGTGGAACTCATTAAGATTCTTGGTGACTAGCACTCTGATACTCTGTACTCCTTTACCTTGGTTCCACTTTCTGTTCAATTAGAATCTGTAAATATCCTTGCTATTAATACAATCCTTTCTGCTAGTTAGTTTTTTCAATCAACCTTTTAAACCACAATCTCCAGCTATGGGCTTGGAGTATTATTTTATTATCAGCTTATGTATATCCTATAAGAGTTGTGCATTTGTGAAAATATTAGTTAATAAGTAATCTTATGACAATAAGGACTTTCCCTGTCCCAATCCTTGCTTAGTGTTTTATTTTGCAGTTTATGGGAAACAATATATCACCTACTTCTGGGTGATGTGCTTCTAAATTACAAACATACCAAACTTAAGTTCAGATTGGCACAGTCATGCATCTTAATTGTGATCAAGATAGCCTGCTTAATACAAGTAATTTAACCTTAGCAGACTTGTCCTGCTTAAGTTAAGTTACTCTGTGAGGATAAGTACAAAGAGGTCATGATAGGTACTTTAGTTATGACTTAGTAAATTAGTTCAGTTGCTCTATTGCTCTGAGCTTACTAGCACTACATATACATAAACTGCATTTGGATTCTTAGAAGCTATTTTCTTCCTTCCCATCCCTCCAAGTATCTTATTTTGCTGGTCTTCATATCTGTCTTAGCTGGCTGGTTTTCTGTCAGACAGTCTAATTTGTTGTTGTTGTTGTTGTTTTTTAATTTAATATTACATTTTAGCATTTCATTATTAGCTTATAGATATCTTATAAGAATTGTGTATTTGTCAAGATGTTTGGATTTTGATTTTTGTGCCAGAATTAAATAGGGTGTTTTTGTTCTTTTTGAGCTTGACACAGTATTTCTTCAAAGCAGCACAATGTACTTGTACATGTGATAATTAAACCAGCAGCTAGTAGCTGTGATATAGGGAATTGAAAGAACTAGCATCAAATATCATTGGATGATTTCCTGTCTAGCATTTATGGCAGAGGGTGTATTGTATGGTTTCTGGTTGGTTGTTGCCTTCTTATAATCATAATAATAATGGTTATCCCCAGAAGTAATAGCCTTGCAGTCCTGTCTATATAAAACGTACATAATAGAAACGGGAACCCATGTACTAAATAGAGCATAATTAGGAATGTTCACAATTGCATGAGGCATTTCGGTTGAGAGGTATGTTTCAGAGACAACACATATATCAATATTTTGACTCCTAAGATCAGCTTCTAAGGCCACTGGAGTTCTCACTTGGTTTTTTGTTTTTGCCAGACTACATATGTTTGCAAAAAGAAATTTAGGAACAGCAAATTCAATAGATTTAGGCCTGCTAATAAACATGTTTTCTGGGCGGATGCATATTTAATTTCTCTTATCAACCTTTACATGCCAGATGACAAAAGACAAATTGAATCAGATACCCTTAATTTGCAGGAGTGGCAGGAAAATTGGCACAGTTAAGGACATGAGGTTGGGTGGGGGACAAATTTAGATACTATGTTGATCATGGATGAAAGGTTATATAAGCTTATTTGTCATCAAAACTAGATATGCAATATGGCACATATGATGTTCAAGGAAGAACTGCTAAATTACCCAACCACACAGGGGAGACTTTATGTCCTGACACAGTCTCTCATTTGAACATAGATGTGGAAGCCAAATGGAAATAATTTTAAAAATGTAGCAACCAATATATACCAAGACAATCAACTGGGAACTTTTCAAAAAAATCCAGTTTTATTATTATTCATTATGGGAGACACATTATTTTTTTGAAAAGGGTTTTTTTTTTTATTTGTGTTGCAAAGTAATTTTGTTCAAAAAGAAGGATTAGGCCAACTTCCCAACACATTATTAATATGTAAATTATAAAATTTTGCACAGTGTTCAATTGCCATGCTATGAAAATTAGACTGTTACTTAAATTATGAACATGGAGATTTTGACTGTAAATATATGTAAATCATGTTTGTGAACGGCAAACAAAGAAACGATTACGGAAGTGATCTTTGCAGTAATGGACACGAATACTTAAGCAGTGATGGAAATAAGGCCTAAAAGAATTAAGGCTTGAAAAGAAGATTTTTTAAATAGGGTTTTAAGAGTTTAAAGAGTGCAAAAACTTGATTGAAAATTGTAATTACAGGTCTGCTCTTCACTGGAAAAAGTGTGGAAGTCCTTTTGGATACCACTTGAGTTGCAGAATCTGGTAATTTCATACTGGAGGTTACATTGCGTTAATATAAGATTAAAGGAATGTGGAGCATTGCATGCCAGAACAAGTGCTTTTTCCTATTAGATTAATAAAAGGATCTATAGATTTTAAAATTTAAGTGTGCCCCTCAACCCTTAATTTTGTTAATAGACCTTGCCAAATAACCCTAAATACCACAGAAGATTCAGAAACTGTTATCTTTAAATAATAACTACTTGTTGGCAAAACAATCATTTGCTAAATTGTATGAAATACTACTGTAAAAAACATTCTTTGAATCTGCAGATTCGAGCAATGATACTTTTGATAATTAACCTAAATAACAGAATTTCATTGTAATCTGTGGCCAAGCCTCTTGAGATACCACTTACTAGGTAATATTGTCCATGACCTTTTCATAGCTTTATTGATATTGTTGCCAAAAATATTTAAGGTGGTGATTTTCAACTCTCTAAAGTTGTAATTTGGGGCAATGTGGGTTTGCTGTTATCAAAATTGCGCTACCCTTCACAATAGAATAAATTGTACATGCAAGTCTTTTGCCTTCATGCATAGTCAAATTTGCAGAGATGATGCAAATGCTACGTCTGATATTTTTTGTGACATGTATGCCTGTATTAAGAAAAAAATTATGACTGTAATTTTTAATTTTATAGAGGATTTATTTTTACATTTCTTTGAGGTGTTGACAATCAAGAGCTTTACAATTTCAGTTAGAGATTATTTATTTTATTCTTGTGACCTTAATGTTTGACTTGGGGGTGAAACTGTGAGGGGATTTAGATCCTAGTCACTCCCAGGGGATCACCTATAGATTAAATAATAAACTCCACCCATTTGTTTCAACGTAGTAAGAAATCTTAAAGGCACTTTTATTCTTTACCTATACTTATAGACATGAAAACAAGCAATGAAATAAACAATTATTTTGAATTGCAAACTGATTGAACAATATCAAGGAGAAATTAGATGCTTGTCATTCTTGGGATTAACTAGTAGATTAAACCATAGACTCCACGCATTTTTTTTATGCAGTAATTAAGTAATCTTAAAAAAACTTCTCTTCTTTCAACTATATGGTCATATAGACACGAAAACAATCAAATCTTGAGGTAACTAACTATTATGAATTGCATATTGACTGAACAACATCTATTCAACACTGGCGTGTAGTAGGAGTCAACAATGCTCACCTGAAAGGACAGCAAAAAACGATACTTAACTGATTCTTCATGCTAAACGTTGTTGTGAAGTTGTGATCTTAATTAAGACACTAAGAAAGCTTTCTTTCATAGCATTAGTTTTAAGCAAAAAAGAATAATTTAGAAAAGTTTGAAATACCATGCAAGACTTTTTCCACGGCGTAACAATTTAAGGCTACGACCTGAGGTAAGAAACATTAACTTTCCATATATTTGCTTCTGCAGTCTCATCATTATATGATACGATTACCATTGATGAAAAGCATCCCCGTCTTTACATTCGCTTAATGTAGATACCTACTAAACGGATTGTGAGCAAACATTGAATAAAACCAGGCGGTTGTTGATCAACAACCAAGAACAAAACGAATAACTGCGATTATCTTACCTTAAAGCTATTCTTAGTAGTTTGAATTAAATTTGTTCCTACTAAAGGTATTCCTACTGTGCATCTTAAAATGATATGTGTTTAACGCCACGTCTATTTTGGTATCAAATTTCGAACTCTCTGTAGAATTTCTCTCGCTAGTCTCAGGGCCTCTCTAGCGGCCTCAACTGAATATACATCTTTTGGAATCTGAGGAAAGCGCAGTCGATCTGGGTAGCGCATGTTTGTTGAATCGACCAATCGATTCTCCAGCTCAGTTGCAAGTTTCGACAGTTCGGAATCGTCCAGCCGTGAGGCATTTAGTCTGAGATCGTGACGATTTATCTTGAATGCGTCATCTGCATATTGCGCTGCTTTCAGAGCCTTCTCGGCACTCTAAAGGAAACAAAATCAATATATTCATCCACCTCAAAAATACCTCTCTTGAGGACAATTTTTTTAAAAACACGATATCAATGAAAAATACCCCTCTCTTTTTCAATAAGGTGCATCGGGATCATTCAGTTCGTTTATTTTGTTTGTTTTGTTCACCCCACATCTTCCTACCTTGTGAGAAAACAATATTAACGAGAAAATTTAATTCTCAATCCTCAGTTTCTGATTCCATTCCGTTGTAGCCGAGCTAGAACCTTTCTTTTTCATCTCCTAACCTCATCATTATTAACTTTAATTTTCAAGACTATAAGTAACAAGTGAATGAAATAAATCTTTTTCACCTGGTGACATTTAAAGCACGCCCACTCATAAGATGGGTTTCCACTAGATAAGTCATTACTGGCAGCTACCAGGTCAGCCTCGGCTTGTCTAAGCCATCGTCTAGCCTCACCAGGCTGAGGATTCTTCGTGCAAAAACTTGGGGGAACACCTGAAGATGAATCGCCTCTCAGGGCTTCATCACTAGAGGTGTACATTCGTCGATACTTCTTCCTGTAGTTTTCGCGATGCATATGTTGACGCTCGGCGCGTACTCTCCAGAAATCAAAAAACGGTTTGTAACAGCTTTGGCCATCTATTACGTCGCCTTGGATTCTTTCTAACCTTGCTATTTCTTCCTGGATGTGCTGTAAAACCTCGTTGCACAATGATTTTTCTCCAGGATTTTTGTCTGGATGCCATCTAAGGAAAAGTCGCTTGACAATTTTCCTGCGCCTTTTTTCAGGTAGTTGCCATGCTTCAACCAGGATCTCTGTAATCTGCTTAAAAACCATCTCTTTGTCTTTAGTGTTACCTTTCTCAAGCCCATCTGATAGGCCTAACGGAGAAGACTGGAGTCGGTGAAACTTATACAAGTCTGCAAACTCGACTTCTTGAGGCTCTTTGTCGTTGCCTACGTTGACCAAATAATACTTTGAAAGAAGGCTTCTGTTTTCTTGAGCATTTACTTCTTTTAATATCACGGCGTAAATAAATGTTGCATCTCCTTCTCTCTGTTGCATGCTTGGATCCTCCATTTCATAACCAACAAACTCCCCTGGTGCGATTTTCTCAAACTCTTCGTTCAAGAGATGGTGGTCTTCTACTGGTATAAAACTTCCGGGAAGTGGTAGGGGATTGCTACTGGACCCATTGTATGTATCATCTTGCCTAATGTTCTTCTTATCCAACATGGACCCGATCTGACTGGGATCGATGCGTAACATCTCTTGAACAAACATCACTGCTTCTCCTAACAGTCCTTCGCATGCTTTAGCAATCACTTCCGTTACAGCCGAATATAATTCGAAGAAGTTTTCATCTACATCAGTTCTAACATAGACCTTCCAGATACTTTTGCCGTCTGTTGCTGAAACCTTGTTTACGAAGTGCGAAACTTCAACTTTGCTATCGGGAATGTGAACACCTTGACACACCAGTTTTGTTTCAATTCTGTTTAGTCCAAGAAATTCGATGCTTCTTAGTCTGTCTTTTATAGAAGCGAGAACATCTTCATTGAGAATTCGATTTTCGTTGTTCTCATGTCGAATAAGCCTCACAATTCCACGAAAGAACTGCTCTGAGCAAAGTTGTCTTTCCAGTGAAGCTGCGATACGAAGCCTAACTGCAGATTCACTGCCCTCTGAAGAGTCAACAAATTCCTCCGTAACCACCTGAGACAGCATCTGGGGTCGAAGGGAAGGTGGAAGGCGCATGAGAAGATCTTTGTAGTTTATGGATGAACTACTCTTTACACCTACCCTCTTTAAGTCAACAACGAATAGCTGATTGAATCTCCTTAACCGAGGAAGAAAATGAGGAGAATCATCAAATACCAGCTCAGAAGACTTTTGCAGAGAAACTGGAGGTAAATCTGTTGAGCTTCTTCTGAGCTTCATTGCTGGTAAGAAGAGTTGTTGAAAACTTATGTCTGTAGTTGTATCTTGTTGTAGGCCTTCCAGTAGTCCTCGCACAGCGCCCAACGCATCACTGATTTCGTTGGGGTGCAGTTTATTACCCAGACTCTGCTTTTGCAACATTTCCAGAACCATGGCGTAGTGTGACATTGTAGCAGATTTGGTACAACCAAGATGAAGAAACAATTCATGAAACTCTCCAAGATCAGGCGGTACTCGATAAAGAAATGGTTTTATTTCAAGGTCCTCAGACATTTCCAGGACTACTTGCTCAGCTCTGACAAAGCGTGCTCCCCTTTCTACCACTATACAAGGGACATCCTGCAGGTCTACTTTTCCATCCTTTCTCAAGATGACCCTTTCTTGAAAAAAGTTGTAAATTTTTTTCATGACAGACTTCCTAGTGTTGCACTGCTCATCTGGGACGTGGCTGCCATTTTCTTCCACAAGTCGATAGCAAATATTGCGACAGTGAGATGTAACTGTTTCCAAGGTTGGCTCTGATAGGACTTTGAGGTGCTCGAGGATTTTGACGCAGAGTTCCTCTCTAGACATCCAGAAGGGAACCTTCAAATCTGATTGATCTTGTGGATGTGCCCACTTAGGGAGGGGGAGGGCCGATGTCCAAACACACTCAGTATGGTCAGAAACAACTGTGTTCTCAAATGCAATGTATGGTAGTGTTCCGTCTTCTCTTTGCCCATGTTGCCTGTACAAAGCCTGAAGCTTACTACAGACTGGTTCTAGCATCACAAACTCAATATCGCAAACAGCTTCCAGAAGCCCCTCACCAAGCAAATCGGAACGACTTAGCAATTCAGACACCAACAGTTTTGACTGTTCATCTGTCTCCGTCGAGCGCTGTTTTGCTGCGTCACGTGCAACTTTCTTTGCAAATTCCTTGAAATCATTTGTGTGAACTTGATGTCTCAGCCCAATCTTTCTCAAAAATTTCAACCAGGCTTTTGAGTTCAGTGGCACAGGTGGAAACATATGCTCTGCAAGCATGACTTTGAAAACCTTATTTTCCGGATCGTAGAAGGTTGATGCTTTTGTCAGCATTCCTATGTGCGTGGTAATCACTGCTGTGGTTTTCAGTGTTTCTAGTAGCTTCCGCTTGTCCTCATTGTTTTCTGACAAACTTGGCAGCAACTTGTCTTTGATATACTCAAGATGAGTCTGTCTCGCCTCCTTGCTAAGAGTACTGAAATGTGGCAACACAAACGCGCGATAGACGTCTACAGGCCCAGGACAATCAAATGCCAGAAAACGGTATAATTTTGATAGCTCTGAAATGTCCTCTAGAAACTTCATATCGCTCTCTTTCTGAATAGTATCCAGCCCTATTTGTGGTATTTCAGACGATAGGACGGTAACTCGTTGATCTCTAAGACTGATCATGTCACCAGATTTTGACGGATAAAAAGGAAGCCGCCTTAGCGTGGACTTGTCGAGGATTGGACTTCCTAGAACACTGTCATTGAAATACTGAAGGATTGTTAGACAGTCACTACGTCCCAATGTTCCTGTTTGAAAACGAGGGTTCGAGCTCAATTTGTGACCAAGAGCTGCAAGAAGTGATGTTGGAGTCTCCAAGGACCCTACAACTTGCGTTGCTAATATACAAGAATCGGACAACACAGGTGGAGGTGTGTTTAAAGGAAAAAGGACGAATGAGTTTAACTCAAGAAGGCCTACCGCTCTAAGAACCTTTACTAAAGGTGCTCTTTGCTTCTGATCATTTTCTGTGAATGCAAGAACACATTTTGCTAACTTTACTGGAACAAGGACTTGTTGTTTCGTCACATCTTTGCCTCCTGCGTTATCCACTGTTGATAAAACAACTTGCTCAATGGCAGGGATGATGCTCCAGTTAGACAAAGGCATGACAAAACTGTTGGCTTCGCACGGGTTATCCTTCCATAATTTAGCCAAAAAGCCCCACACTTTGAAAATCCACCGATGGTTTGGTTCCACGGGATGGTCTGGTGACCACACTTTTACTCTACTTTGCCCCAAATGTTGCAGCGAGAGTGTTCCTTTCAAGTGCTGTGCAAAAGCGTAGACATTAAAGGCCATGAAAACGGATGCCTTATGAATCAACCTTTCAGGAAAAATATCGCACAGAAGTTTCTCATGGACGAACATGTCCTTTGATTCTGGCAAAATGTCATGATAGTGGGAAAGGTACTTGCGATCATCTGTGCTAAATACACGTAGGCAGTTGTCTTGGGTAAGTAACAATGGTAGACCTGGAAGATTCGATAAGAATTTGCATGAGTCCTTGCAGTACCGTAGCACCAATGTCACACCCTCGCTGTTCTTGAATGGAGTTTTCGCGACATCCGTGGGTAAAGAAGTTACATTTGTGAAGAAACTCTTGAGGAACTCAACAACAGCGGAAGGGGATGTACGGTAACATACAACCTTAGAACTCTCAAACGCATCTAAAATTTGCAAGGAAAATTGCAAAAGATTAAAGCCTGTTTGAAGTAGTATTGACTCCATAGTTCTTTGTAAAGATCTTGTTTCCTCTGTGGTTTCATCCTCTTCTCCATCTGGCAGAGAAGAATAGCAACCCTTAATTTGGATGTCATTAAAGTAGGCTTTGTCTTTTCCAGTGCCACAAGGAGGAAACCAAGTAAGTTCGAAATCCCAACTGCTGCCATCTGGAGAATCTCTTACCACTGGAAGATAGCGTGACTTTTTGGTATTCATTCCTTGATACACAGATTTTATCAGCATCGTCCAGTATGGATTGAAGGAGGTGCAGGGAAACAGATTTTCGTAACTTTTCACCTTCTGAATCAATTCTTCTTTACTACAGCTCAGATAAAACGTTGAAATTATAGGCGAAGTTTGAAGGTGAAGAAGACCCCTTACCTCGTCCAGAAGCGTCAAGTAACAAGAAGCTATAACATCGCTCAGCAAAGCGTTGTTCCAGTCACTACGATAACCACCGTTCTCATCTCTCCACAAGTTTCTTCTGGCCTCGTGGTCCAATGCAAAATGACCATTAATATGGACCGGTAGATCTGTTTCCAGTGGTAGTGGAAGAAAGCAGAAAGCTCTCTTTTTTCTCGTTTGTGCTTTCATAGATTCTGTTTCCAAGGGACAGGCACAACCACCGCGCGGAAGCATTCCAAGGTCACGATTTCGAAAAGCGTTGACTATGCTTGTTTGAACCTCGTTCTCGAAACCCATTTGCTGAACAATTAGCCACCTTTCCTCATTTCCAAGGCTGTCACTTATGTGGAGGAGGTAGCTGCATTTCTCCACCCCAACGTGGCCGAACGAGAAGTCATCACTCTGCACTATTGACTTCCCAACCTGTCTGACGTGGTTAGCAAACCGCTGTCTCTTGGCAGCATCGTTGCCGGAGATGGATGCTTCCACTGAGTAGCAGTTAGTTACATTGCCAGTTTTTTCATCTATGTCACATAATGTGATTTTCGTCACATTGTTGACAAAAACTAAAACTTCAAAGAGCTCTTTCTTGAGAGCCTCCATCATTTCACTCAATGCTTCCAACGTAACCGGAGTGGATGACAACTCCGAATTATTAGCCATTTCTTGCGTTCGTAGAGGGAATCTGAACATAGTTGAATTTTCAATGGGAAACTTCTCTTCAAGATAGCAGCAGAACACATCTGGAAAGTTTTCCTTCAATTCTGATGTTTCTGTGTACATTCTCCCTGGTTCTTGAGGAGTGGCGCCAGGAACGTACTGACAATGTGGATCAAATACACACAGAACCTCACCAATCTCGTCACCTTTAGACATTAACGAGGGAATATCAGTCAGGTGGTAGACCGCGTTGAAACCCACGCCGTATTGCCCTGTTTTGTGTGGATCACCTCCCTTACCACCCTCTCCGAGGTTTTGTATGCCTTCGATATCAGAATGACTAAACGGCTTGTTGTTGTATACGCATAACGCTGGTCCTTGTAATGGTTCCCAACTTTCGTGAAATAACTTCTCCCGTGGATGAACACGGGGGTCCTTTATAAAACATATCTCAGTTGCTTGTGCATCATCTGCATTCTGGAGTAGTTCTTTCAAAAGCTCTTTCCCACAAGGATAGCCTGTAAGAATTCTCTTTAGGCGATTCGTCAGTTTCTCCTTTTGCCCAAACGCAAGTCCTCGCGCATGATTTCCTACTGCCTCTTCTTTGAGGGTTTTGACCCCCAGTGCGAGACTTGTTGGCCAAGGAATATCTGAAAAAACAAACTGCATACCAGGGCCACCAGGAATCCAGGGGCAATCTTTAATGCAAAGCTCACTTACAGGTTGCATTATTCCCTTCTGGTTGGGAAGATAAATTGAACTCCTCCTTTGCTCTGGAGTGAAACGATTTCCGGTAGTATCCAACGCTCTTTTCAGTTGAGCTGCCAGGTTGCATACAACAATCAGCGTGCCACTATCCACCTTTCGCATTCCAAATTCCTCCTTAATTTGTTTGAGTGTAGATATGAAGTCTTCCACCTCAAACTGTTCTCTTATACCACCTTCTTTCATAAGCCTTGAGTACCTGACCAGTTCTTCAGGGATCTTGTGCAAGTACGGAGAACAGTCGACAAGCAGCGATGACGCAACTTTATTTCCATACACAAACCCGTTTCCAACAAGAATGAACTTTTTTCCTTCAAGGAACCTAGCTATTTGATCTGCATCGCGGGGAAGAACATCTTGAAGGAAGCTGTAACATGCATGACAAACTTTCATCACATCTTCTATACAACAGACTTCAAATTTGGTAGAGATTGCCTCATTTAGCTGGGTCAGAACTTGCTTCGTCGTGACCTCTCGTTTATCGAACTGCAGAAATCGTTTCACGTTTGGCGGGATACTAGCGTCTATGATTGGTGCCGAAGAGCACGCGAGGTACAAGTTCTCCTTTAGAAAGCCTTGAGTTGGTGATATCAACGCTAGTTTATCCCCGTGTATCATTTCACTACCTTTCCATTTCAAGGGAAAGGTCTGCGGCCTCGAAAGAACTGGGAGAAATTTAGTTTCCAAAAGGAGTTGTTTCTCTTTGGTCCAGGGAAGGCAATTTTCATTATCCTTACACTTTTTGTCGAGAAACTCTATAAGCCTTTTTACCCTCTCCGATGCAGCCTTACTACAAGTTTGGCTCAGACGTACGACGGATTCTGCCCTTTCTACAACGTCAGACCACGGAAGATCGTCTGTCAACATTCCAAGCTGCTCTAGTTGATGGAGGTGAAAAGGTTGTCTGAATGCCTCTTCAGGAAACCTTTGATCTTCCGGAGAAAATAACAACGCTGCAGATCTACGTGGATCAATAAGTTGAGAGGGGCATTTAAGGTTATGACGATCTGGTGATACGGAAATGTAAGCATACACTTTCATTGCATTATTCAACTCTTCTCTTTGAGAATCAAGGGCATACAAGACCAAGTTGTCCCTCAGGTCAGGGGGCACTAAACCAATGTTTGGGAAGAACAATTCCAAAAAGAACCTACTCGTATCGTAGCTTCGGGAGTGGATTTTTTCAGCAAGACCATACTTCTTAAAAGACTCAAACACATTTCTGGGTAGATCAATTACAGCTCCATTACCTTCAACCAACAATTTGAACACTTCGAAGCATATGTTTCCTATTTGAGAATCCTCACGTAGGTCTGGCGTTAGGAAGACAGTTTCATTGATGGCCAACCAACTCTTGCCATCCGAAAAAACAGCCTTATTTCCATTTAAAAGATATTCATAGAATGAACGTGCAAGGGGCTCACAAGTTGACATAACTTCGGCACATTTTGGCCACAGTGTGTGATATTGGTATGCATTGTTTGAGGCCTGTGAAAAGGACTTTAAGTCTTCAAGAAGGTCAAGATATGCAGAGCAAACGCAATCTTTTAAAAGCACTTCATTCCACTCTTGTCCAAAATTAGCCTTATCATCTTCGGTTTTCACCAGCAAATTTCGTCTGTTTGAGGAAACTGCAAACGTTCCGTTTATGTGTACAGGTAGTCCATTACAGATGGGAAGTGGAAGATAACAAAAAACACTGCCATTTGCCTTTGATCCTTTGGTTTCATCGCAAATAGGTACCGGAGTTAGAGAATCTTTAGTTGAGATCTGAACACCAACCCCCGCTGATGCAAGAAGACTGCTGTCTTTCTTCGCGAATTGCATGGCTGCACCTTTGCCCATAGATGAGACGACAAGCCAAATGTCATCATTACTAGAAACGCTACATTCCAAGAAACTGCTGCCATATTCTGATACGGTGCTTTTGATCTTCAGTGTCAGAGCAGAGCTAAGGAGAGCGGGAGCGGACTCGCTGTATCCACGGCTTAGCTTGCTGACTTCAGATGACGCTCGCAGAAAATTACACTGTTTCAATAAGAACTGATCTTCTGTGCTCAGCTTCATGGCAGTAGTTGGAAGAGTAATTTTATCAGGCAGTTCCCGTCTTACTCCATCCTGTGATAATGATTTGGTGACCTCAAATATTTTCCTGGGCTGTAACGGCTCAGTTACATCATTAGGTAAATGGTAGATGCTGATATGACGAACATTCTGAGTAAACAGAAGCAATGATTCAGCTCCTTGAGTGACACGTTTCAACAGTTCCTGAACTTGCTTCCGGTTGTAAACAAGTTGCTTTATTTCACTTTGTATAGCCTGCTGCTCAGTTCGTAAGGGAAAGCGAAATAGTGTCCCTTTGTACGAGTTGTCGTCTTGGTTTAGATGAAGATCACAACCAAAGATACCATTGAATGGCCTGAACTGATTTCGAAACTTTCGCAGTCTTTTGGAATTTTTGGTGGTATCAAGCTTTATTCCTGGTTTCGTTTTGTTCCTAATTTGTTTCCCTAGGTAGAACGTGTTGGGATCGAGAATAACAAAATGATTTCGGCTTACAAACATGGGGACATCTGTCAGGTTGTAAACTGCATTGAAACCAAGCCCGAATTTTCCAATCTTGTCGGTATCATTCTCTTTCGTTGCACCATTCAATTTTGTAATGTTCTCAAAATCCTCATCCTTGAATTCGGCATCATTATAAACCCACAATGCAGGACCCTGACAGTGTCTCATTCCTTCGTCAATGAGGCCGTCTATCGCATCCTCATTAGTTCGCTCGTCATACAAAAAGCGTACTTCCGTGGCGCCAGCATCATCTGCATTCTGAATAAGCTCTTTGGGTACTGCAAATCCATCGGTGTATTCCTCCAGTAGTCTGTTTAGCCTTCGAGTGAGCTTCTCCTCTTGTCCAAAATCTTCTCCCAACGTCAGCTCTTCTGGTTCTAGCAGGCAGTTACTGAGGCTTCGTACGTTAAAAAGCTCTGCTGTTCCTGCAGGGATGTTTGGATGCACAAGCAGAAATTCAACCTCTTCGTCCTCATTTTCTCCTTCTGATCCGTCATATTCTCCATACATGCAATTTCCTACTGGTGCAAGGTTAACACGTGTATCTCCTTTTACGTAAGTTGGAAGAAGAACTTTCTCTTGAACTTCAGGCGATAATTGTCGATTAGCATCTGGCTTCAGTTCATTCAGGATGGAAATGCACAAAGACAGATCTTTTTTCACATCTGATGTCTCATAGAGACCTTGATCGTACTTTTTTTTAATCATGGAAAGAACATCAAGCATCAACTGCTCACTGCAGTCTTTGTTAATGCCAAAAGAATCAAATAAGTCGAAGTACATGGACATCTCTGAAGGAAGAACAGAGATGTAAGGCGAAAGGTCGATGGAATGGTCGTTCAAGAGGAGAGCATTAGGAGGGGAGAATCCGTCGCCATTCCAGATCCAGCCAGGGTCTTTCAAGTCCTGAATTGCCTCCACGACATCACCCCTGTTCTTGTAAGACAGAAATTCGTAAATTTCTTTCACAAGCAAACTGAATCGCGGTCTCTCCTCGTGTTTGTAATGAATGACGACAGTTCCTAAGTGATAAACCACTTGAGATACTTGTGGTTCCTCATTCCAGCCAAAATAACTGCATAACTGACTTGATTGGTCTACTTCAATGATAGGTTGTACCGAGCCAATCAGGTTGAGATACTCTTTGCCCTTGACGTTCTCTGGCGTGCATAACATTCCTTTATTAGCTTCCCCCCAAAAGGGAACGCATTTGGGAAAATCTCTGGGCTTTTCTTCCAGTGCAGTCATCCACGAAATACCTTTAAGCAGCGAACCCAACGTTTTACCCGAGAGAGTATCTTCGAGTTTCATTGGATTTTTGCTCAAGTGTTCCAAAAGTGCACGAGACTTCTTCTTTGCTGTTAAAACGCTTGGCTGATTTTGGATCTTTACAGCACTCTGGTGGAGATCTTGAGCAGTTGTCATTTCCTCGCTTTTCAAGCCAAGTTCCTTTAGAATTGGGAGGACTGATGTGTCAGTATATAAGTTTCCTACGGGAAATACGTCTTCATCAGTAAAAAGGGCCTTCATCAGCTCGTTTTGGGGATCAAACAGTTGCGAGGCTTTCACTCGTCCAGTGATGTTTGGCACAAAGGGTAACTCTCTCATCATCGCTTCTAAATTGCTATCCCTTCTAACGAGAAATTTATATTGCTCCATAACATAGAACATTAGGCGATCAATATCCTTTCCCGAGTAATGCCCTTGGCTGATGTTAGGAAGAATTTGTTCACAGAGCAACTCAGTTACCGTTAAAATTCTGATATCTAGCAGTTGTGCTAGTTTCTTGGATTCTTCATCTTTGATGTTAATGAGCTCTCCTCTGGGAGAAATTGGAGGCATCTCCTCTGGCGCTGCACAAAGGTGATCTTTCTTAGCCACAAAGTTCCCAGAGAGAGTCTCAAAAAGTGGGAGATCAGAGACAAGATCCTTTTCTTCCTTCCGAAGAGATGAAATTTTCGAAATAAATTTCCTAAATGAGCGTTTGGAGGCATCGTCTACCCTTTCAAGCATAATTGCAGAGAACATTCCTTGGCACAAAGTTAAGGAGGAAACTAACATAGCTTGTAGGACCCCTGAGATTGAAGGTGGGTGAACAAATGTCCCCGTTAACTCCGGATGGAATTTTGTAGGGCACGCGCTCATTACCACCACACCCAACTCTATCAAAACTTTCACCACGGCGCCATCAAGTTGGTCATCATTGAGCCTTTCCGCAACAACTTTAGACTTTTTCTTCAGTGATACTAAGGTTAACGGTACTTGGTAAAGATCTACAGGAATCAAAGGAAGGTTGTATTCGTCAAGGCTGGCTAGTTCATCTTTAGTGGAAAAATTTTCTCTTAGGTAGCGCCATACACTGCTGAGCCAATCTCTGGAGGTATGGCGATACTTTTGATTGTCGGGGTACCATCGAACCTTGTCACTGGATAGCAGTTCTTGTGATAAGGCCTCCCTCAGCAGAACAGGTACATCAACTTTGCAAAGAAGTTTTAACTGAGTGCATCCTGTAAGAAAATAACATATCGAAATTTAGAGCTCCTAACTAAGGCAACTTGTCATTTTTAAGAAGAAAGCGATTGTAGCTCCGAAAATTCCTCTCCTTTTAGTTGCCATCACATCTACTTGGTTCTGACTGCGTGTGTGTGTGTATGTGAGTCAGTTTTAGTTTCCATGTTTTTACGTCTGTATTATAAGAAAATTCAGGGCTTAGTGCGATTATAGCTTATGTAAAACCTATAAAAATCTCTAGTTCTCCCTGATTCTATAATTAAAATGAAGACCTCAAACGGCATTCTGTGCTACACGAAACAGGTTTTTGTCCAAATCTTCAGCAAAACTACTTTGGCTTAAACTAATGTACCAAGTTTGATGAACCCATAACAAGGAGTATTATACCTTTTTCAGCTACTGCTTTAAGTTTTCCTAAAGTCCTTTCATCAACGTTTTGGTCAAGAAATTTGTCGTTAAGCCCAGGCACCAGCTCTTGAGAATGGTCAGGCGAGGTGATGAAAACGGCTACGTCGGAGCTTGTAAAAGATTTGAACGTCCCGTCAGAAACAGGCAAAAGTTCAAGGCCAACCAACTCTTGAAAGTTATCATCTTCGAGAACAAAGCTTAAAAGGGACAACTTTTCCTTGTGACTGATACTTTTGTAGCCAGTAGGTATTTCCTTTAAGATTCTTCGCATCGAGGAGGGTGTGACTTCTGAAGAGAAAGCTGCATACTGGTCTATGGCGCTTAATACGTGGTCAGGCAAAGAGGCAACATTTTGATCTGCTTGAAGCAGAACCCGCACGATCAACTCTTTCATCTTCTCCTCTTCAATTCGGTCAAATATGGCCTCGTCAACTTTCAGCCAGTGCCCCCCACGGGCAGGAGTATATATCACTCTTTCAGTAATCAATGATTGGAGCAAGGGATTCTGGAGCCTCTCCCAAGTTGGTTCCACTTTCCTGCAATCTGGCCACGCTCTGTGTGAAAATAGAGTAGAAATGTCAGTCTTACAGCATGAAATTATAACCCTGTAAAAGCAGTACTTTGGTGTTTTTTATCCATAGGCGCACAGTTATTGCAGTGTGTGGGAAGCTTAAAATAGTTACCAGCTTTCCCTAATAGATGTTTAAAAAGCGCATTATCCATTTAAGCCATGATCAAAAGATCAAACTCCGAACCTGGTCATGGAACGTCCGTACCTAGTCAGATATATCAAGAAACTAAAATGTTCTGTCTTCGAATGGTTTGCATGATTGAAGATTTAGGGAGAAATTTGAATATGTTGGGAGCCATCAGCGCAACCAAAACTCATTAGGAGTTTCTGACAGGACTAATTTTTGCCCATCCTCCAAACAGCTGCTAGCCATTGAACATTTCCTACTGACCTCTCTAAAAAAAAATCTAATAACTGTTTACTGATTCTTTGCTTGACAGAACATTAATGATGCTAATGTGCAAGATTTACCTGTAAATTGCATCTGGTGGAACATTATAGTTTGTATGATCAATGGCCTCCTTTATCAATGTGGAGTACGCTTGAGGTAGAGCTTCTTCCAGAAGGCAGGTGTTCCATAACAAAGACTTGTCAGTTAGTTTCTCTTGATCTTCTTGGTCTGCATTCGGTGTCTTTATGTGTCGTCTGTTCTGACTTAATGAGAAAAAGCCATTCACATGCACCGGAAGACCAGTTAAGCTCTTTTTCTGCACAGGCAAAGGGAGGGCGCAAAACACGTGACCTCGAATGTTGGGCGTTCCTGAAGTGGACTCTGATGGAATTGCCATTGCAACGCCAACTGAAGGTAGATAACTTAGCTCTTTGTCTGTCAGAAGCTTTTCAAACGTGGACGAGACCTCACCTCCGCTGCAGTAACTTGTCACGAGATAAGAATGACGTTCTACGTTTTCATTTGAAAATTGGACTACCATTGTAATTGGATACGTCACTGTCACAGGTTCTGCCATACGCTTGCCTGGTGTGATCGCGTTGTAAAACTCTTGTCTCTTCTCACGAACAAATGCAAGACTTTCATGACTGATTTGAACTTGGAATATTTTTCGTGGCTCGGATTCTGACTTCTCTCGGACGAAAAGCTCTACAGATTCTAAATGCTGAAGAAACAGGAGCACAAAGTGTGCATCGGCGCAAAAACTCGCAAACAGATGTTCCACCTTTTCGTCAGAGTACAATGTTTGGGACAGCTCAGATGGTTCAGTACGCAACGGAAAGCGGAACAACGTTCCTCTGTAACGTCCCTTAAGAAAGACTTCCTCGGTGCAATCAAATATTCCTTTGTAGGGAAGAAATTGATCAGGTATTCTGTTCATATTTTCACGGTCTTTGCGCAGGTGCCAACGGTATCCTGTTCTCCTTTCTCTTCGTCCTTTATTGAAGTGGTCCTCGTGGGGATCGATGAAACCGACTTTTGTGCCGCTCAGAATACTCGGTAAATCTGTAATAAACGGAAAAGTTTCCCAGTTGTTTTCCAACTGTATCAAACTATTATTCTGATACTTCAGATTCCTATGTCCAGTTGTATACAGAAGTGAGACAAGTTGTGCTTTATTCAATTATTATTCTAAGTTTTATTCGCCAGCATGTCTAAGCCAATTAAATTGTAACAGAGCGGAAAATCATTTTACAAGCATACTATCGTTTTAAACAATCTGACGAGGATGAGTTTAAATAAAACTAGATGACTATTTGGAAATCGTCCAATTCAATAAATAATATACATCGCATGTGAATTCCGTTAGGTTTATCAGTAACTGATTCTTTTCAAAACAGAGGACCGGGATGTTATTCATATTCGACGAGTGCCAGTGGCCCCCTTACCTGTCAGGTGAAAAACAGACTTGAAACCTAGGCCAAACCGTCCTACTTTCATTGGGTCCTTGACTTTGACGCTGTCACAAAGCATTCGTATGCCTCTCCAGTCGTCTTTAGTGAATTTTGCATCATTGTATGCATAAAGTGCAGGCCCCTTTAGATTAATAAATAGATCTTGTTAAAACAGCATTGATTAACAGCAAGAACAGATGTTACAAATTGATCTCATCGACCAAACGGCCAACGAGAAGGCACGTTCATTTTTCAGTTTTTTTATCAAAAAAATATTATCAGTAATAAATTTTTTATCACAGTTAGCCATACTAAGAAAGGCGGGATAGCAGTGGCCTGATCCAAAGAACCCTGCTTTCTCGTAGCGTCTATGACAATTCATAAAAAAGGGCAGAACACAGCTTTATGCCGCACGTCCACTCTCTTAAGGGTCATTCCATTGACTGGAAGGATATTTGAGGACATACGGAATAGTGATCAAATGAAATTCAGACCACGCAGGAGATGTACCTCTCCGAACACTCCCTTTACTGGTTTGACAAAGACCGAATACTAAGAAGGTCTAAGTGGTTACTTTAATCACTCCCTTTACTGGTTTGACTAAGACCGAATACTAAGAAGGTCTAAGTGGTTACTTTAATCAAAAAATTCTTACTCGTAATCAAACTTATAGACGACCATTGCGTCGTCAAATTATTACATTACTTCGCTACCATGTTTACCAGAGGAATTTTCAACTTAAAGTAAGTGTTATGTCACATGACTGTGCATGTGATGTTCAAAGTTCGCGCCAATCTTTCAAAGAATTGGATACAAAGCCAGTTGCATGTTGTTCTTGCGTGTTGTTAACTCACGATAGTTTTTCTGCAGTTGCAGCTGTCCTAGTATCTCTAAAGAACGATGCCATAGTTCCATGGCTCCGCTTGAGTTTAATCCTTGCTCTCATGAAAAAGTTTTGATTCCGAAGGATTTGTGCTGTCACACTTAAGTGAAAAGCACTCTTGACCAATACCTTTTGAAAGAGAAATTTATTCAGCAACATACCTGAAACTGACGAAGCCCTCCGCTATAAAGCTTCTCTTCTCGAGCGCTGTAGCTGTGTTTGTCGTAAAGAAACTTCACGTGGCTCGCACGTGCATCCTCAGCATTTTGAATGAGCTCCTGAAATGAAGAAAACATCATACCTGCAATTATCAACAACATTTCCTATTTTAAGAAAAAGTAGTAGAAAAAAGACCGATTGAATAATTAATTGAAAAAAATTAAAAAGGCAATCAGAACGAAAGAGATTATTGAATCTGAACGTGACTGCATTTATGAAACGAAACTGTGGTCATCAGCACAGTTGTTGTATCTCAAGCCTCATTAAAATTTTAGGTTTGGTACTGTTCTGAAAACAATTATTTGTCTAGCAACCTCTTTAGGGTAAGGATAAACCAAAATAGTAGATCAGTGGTAGTTGTTGAAGTTTGATTATATTAAAAACTCATTAGCTGTCAGTCAAAACTCAAACAATTATAACCCTTTTCATTAATTACCTTCAATATCTGTCCATCATCCGGATACTGATCGAGGATGGTCTTTATTTGTTGGAACAGTGATGGCTGGATCAGGTTAAAGTCATCATCATCATCATCACTCTCGCTGTTATAATCATCATCTACATCCACTGTTGAGAAATTTAATTATCAAGCAAAGTGCTTCTCAAGAAAGAAACGAACAAACGAAACAACGAAAACCATATCTTTGCAGAAAAAACGAAGAAAACACAATCAAAAGAAAACAAAACAGAAAATATCTTCTAACAGGTTCTAACAGAAGAAGGGATACCCATCTTACAGACGTTTTGGATTATGAAATGTAATATTCTGATTGATTATTGCCAAAGTGCTTGAAATCATTTAAGTAGCCAAATTCTGGGGTCCTGAGGACATATACTCCAGTTCACGCAGACACTACTATATAATGCTTTGCACTTAGCAAGGTAATAAAAAGTTGTTGTCAAGTATAGGTGCAAATTCTATCGAAAACAAAGCATGGAGGCTTAAGCAAGATATATCCATCCATTTCTGGATACTCATGAAAAGTTGACTGGGCACTCCTGTGAATATATTAATGACTGCAGTCTGTCTAAGAATACTTACTCTTAGGGTGCGATAACTCTGCTGAGGTCATGAAAGTGGTTCAGCTCTGATAGAGAATTGTGAAAGACAATTAAGGTCATTATGTATCCAGAACTCCAAAGTGTGGTTGGGTTGCCCAGGACAAGTTCCTAGATATATCCATCACACTTATATATTTTTTGCAGTTTGAAGGGGAGGGAGAGAATCCATACTCTCCTGCCGTAATCAATACAACTGTGAGAATTGAATCTTAGTGGCAAAGAAACTTACCCCCTTTATTATAAAGTTTTTTCTAATTTCACTGACACCTAGAAATCAACTTGTTTGAACCTCATAGTGTGCTGTAATTAATGCTTAGCCTGAAAAATGGCAAAAAACCATATAATATTCAAAATTTTGATGCAGGAGCTTGGACACATATTTTACATGTAGCAGCATAATATTGAATGAACTAGCAGTCTGACAATACAAGGTCAAAAATGATATTCAGATCTCTGTCACAGTAAGGGTGAAATTTCGTGAAAAAAATAATAACCAGTGTTTGAAAAAACCTCTGTGTATGTCAAAAGTTTAATTTTTGATGAACGAATGCAAAATTCTGTGAGTTCTCATATGTAGGAAAAATAATTATATATCACTGCATTTTTAGCCAGAGAAACAGATTAACACAAAAATCTGAATTGAATGCTAAAAAATAGCTTTATCACAATAAGGAAAAGTCCAGGCTACAGTTCAACATTACCAGCTTATTACTTAATTATAACTTTCAGTACTTGATGGTGTGCTGGCTATTGTAACTTGGATATCTTAAAGTTTTGTCCTGCCTTTATAACTGTTTATTAAATTTACAGAGATGCAGTTTTCATTTTTTATTTGTTAATTTCATTTGTTCTGCTGCAGAATGGGAAGGATTTAGGGATGGTATGCTGTGTAATTGTACTGCACATCACTTTTCCTTGTCCCTGATTGAGTACATGTGCAAATTTGTAAAGAGCCAGTATGAAATAATGAAAATTGTGACTTATATTAAGTCAATGTTTTAGTACAAATGAGGTCAGAACCATTGAACTGAATTAAGTCAATCCTCTTGATTTGGAAGTAGTCTACATACCACAAGTACAGTAATTACACATGAATTTCACATGAATATTTATGAATTTGATGATTGATAGACTATCCTGCTTACTGTGTATGCATATAATTACCCTTCCAGCCACAAGGAGAGAAAACTAAAGAAATTATAACAAAGGGGTTCATTTATTTAAAAAAAAGGTATAGAAAACAGACCCAACGTTTCAACACTAATTTCATCATGATTACATCTATGAAAAGGCACCCAATATGGATTGTGTATCCCATAATAAAAGGGGTCAATCCATTTGATCCATATAAATAAATCCTAAAAGCAGACCATAATTCAATTAAATTGAAATAAGTCACAATCAATTCCATCAAAGAAATATACACAGCAACGAATTATTTGTAATTAAATTCGTGCAAAATTCAAAATCAGGTGTAAAATGTATTAATAGTTACCTTCCAGACGAACTGAATGATCTTTCAGGCAAGATCTTCACAACTCTATAATATAATGTGACGGTGAAGTGTTAATTTTATAACGCGCACTGTCATTGATTGAAAAACATTCTCGGAGAAATAAATAAGTGAGCCGTAAAGCTGTCACGCCATCTGCCAGACTGTACTATGTTCGACCTTTTCCGGGACTTCCTTTAGCTTTTAGCTAATTGAAAGTGAAATTTCGGAACAAGTGAGCCTGCAAGTAGCAACAGAAGAACCAAATAAAGGTTTGTAAACATACCAGGCGCCGTAATTTACGTTATTAAAACGAGAGCAGATACGAAAATCCTCAAAGGAAAACAAAATAGACGTTCGAGGTTTTAGGGATTGATTCACGCTCAGTTTGATTGCAAGCTTACGTACGGAAATGAAAATCAAACATAGCTAACATTCATATAGTATATAATTATAAAGTTCAGAGTTCAAAAACAAAACAGAACAAAACAGAAATGATGAAAATATAACCAAACTGGCATAATTGTTAAAATTTATACTAATCATGACGGTGTCTGAGCAAATATGATCATGCTGAAGTCCATCGCGGCTCGCTCATCATGGCGATCTCCGATCATCACAGCAAGCCTCAGAAACTACATCGGCCGCCCTTCGAGTGAAAAAAATAAGAGCTTACTCTGATATCCTTTCCGATGCGTTGAGTGGAAAGTAACATCTGTCACTGCAGCTGAGTTTCGCGGCGCTGTCATCCCAAGCGATCTTCATGTTCCGGTGAATTCGGCTGTCGTTCATTCAAAATACACTCGCCTTGAACAGTTTGTTTTCTACTTTGTCATGTGAAAAAACTCGCGTGTTTTTATGAGCCATAATTCGGCTGAAGTTCACTGAACATTTCACTTCAAGATTCTGTATTAGAGACTTAAAAACTTCAGGCAAAAGTGTTAAATTCGACCTACCGAACTATTTCAGTTTGTAAACTATCGCAGAAGGTGAACTTTGATGGTTTTTTAACTTTGATGGTTTGACACTTTTGACAGCTTTAGTCTTGTACAGCCAATCAGATTATTTGAACTATTCTAACAGGGATTCTGATTGGCTTATTGTAGCGTGCTTTATGACAGTATAGAGCATGCTGACGACATTGTTGTTCGCTTTGGAAATAAAGTTTGTTTTGAAAATTGAAAGTAATGCTCGAGGAATTTAATGGATTCTTTATTATAAAACAAATAGAAGAAGTGGGGAGAAACACTCGACTACGTCTCGTGTTTCTCCCTACACTTCTTTCGTGCTCTAGCCGCTTCCTGCGTGCTTTATAACAGAACAGAGCACAGTCAAGGCTTCTCTATTTGTTAAATGTGACGGTGAAGTGTTAATTTTAAAGTGAAGCCCTGGAGCCGGTTTCGTGTTTAGTAATGATTGATGTTTTAAAACATTCTCGGAGAAGTAAATAAGTGCCGTAAAGGCCAGTTTTATTCACCATGGATCGGCCTTCAATTCGACTTTAAACATATGATATGATGAGTATATAACTCGTCTTTTATGACATGAAAACAAACCTGAAGTTGATAATAAGTCAGGCGTAAAATTGAATTGGTAGTTTAAATTTATGCCGGTTTTCGTGGAAGTCATTTCTTCGCTCTGCTATCTCATTAAACACGTTGAATAAGTAAGAAACAACATATTTGTAACGCCGTTCATCGTATATATGTAAGGCCGGTTAAGGCCTGAAAAAATTAAGGATTCCGCGTGCTTTATTTCCTTGCTCTGATAATAACTTGGACCGAAACCGATCGCGGGCCATTTGAGTTCGTAAATAAACAAGTACAAAAAAGGCCAGTTTTGTTCACTATGGTTGAAAACAAGTCAGACGTAGTATTGAATTGGTAGTTTAAATTTATGCCGGTTTTCGTGGAAATCATTTCTTCGCTCAGCTATGTCACTAAACACATTGAGTAAGTTAGAAACAACATATTTGTAACGCCGTTCATAATATATATGGGCGAAGGCCTAAAAAAATTAAGGATTCTGCTTGCTTTATTTCCTTGCTCTGGTATTAACTTGTAGATGAAACATCTACTCGAATCGAAACAGCCATTTGAGTTCGTACATTATGTACGCCATTGACAAGCTGTTTTTCAGTTCTACTAATCTGCTTGCGGCCTGGTATTTTAAGCATGTAAGTCCGAGCTGCTGTGTGTTTATGAGTAAAAACCTCAATACTAAGCCATACTCCGAAGTAAACTTACCTTCAAGTAGTCACCTGCTTCCTCGTACTAAATTGTGTTCAGATGACGCTTTTTATAGCATTGCGAAGCTTATTTATTCCTCCTCAGGCTCAGCAGACGTCACGTGATCGAAAATGATATATGATAACATGATATAATATCACAATTTTAACACGATCGTTGGGCGTTTCTTTTTATTTAATATAGACAAAATTATTAAATCTTTTGGGATTTATGAAGAGCCTCGCGAATTATATCAGATGCATACTACCTTTCCAAAACACCGACGTAAGACAATTAAAACAGTGTTCTGTTTCTCGGAATTGGGGAGCATTAAGGAAACGAATTCCCGGAAATTGACAGTTATAATGACAAGCTCTGTCTGAAGGTTGATATTCAGAGTTTCTGGGAATCACATAAACAACAAAGTAATGACTGTCGTTCAAAAGGGAATGAACAAACAACTTCCTTTTTTATTGGAAATTCAATTTCTTACTCTTATATTTATTTTTCTATCATTAAATACTTTATAATATTTTCAAGCATCGAGGAAAACATACGAAAATGTTTCTCTCACGGATTCAGCTGCATTTTAATGCTCGAATTTCACCATGTGTAGCCGCTGTATAAAGTGTACCTATCTCCATATTAACTGCTGTTTTGTCATTCGAAGTGACTGATGTTTCGACAACTTAAGCAGAAGTCATCATCAGAGTCAAGAGAATCATAGTTTACAATCGAATGTACTAAGTCCGGTGCGTGTAACTCGACACTGATGATGACCTCCGTCCAGGCCCCAGACCAAGTCCGTTCCCCCTGTGTTTCCTTAAAAAAAAGTGTAGAGCAATGCTGAAATAACCTACAACTCCATCTTCATATTAAAGAAAAGAAAGTAGATGTTTGCAATTCAGTAACATTCGTAAATGACGAGAAACTCACTCTTCTTTGTTATTCCTAAATTGCGCTATATGTGGCAGGCTGCTAAAAGATTAAGCGCAAAAGTGCGAAAACTTGAATTTTTCAATAACATTTTGTCAAATCATGAGACATTCAAAAAGTCCATTCTACCCAAAAGCCGCTTATGGTACAAAGTTAAAAAAAAGGAGTCTTACAGAACACAAATTAAAACAAACAACAAAGCAACGACCGATCATGCCACTCGCGAAAAGAGAAGACATTTTAATATTTCCCAAGCTTTATACTTTTGTAGAAAATTACACCTGCAATGATGGTCCACATTTTATTTTCCAGTCGGTGTCTATCGATCAAATTGGTAAGAGTGTACTAGAAATGA